AAGAGCGAAAGAAACGCCAAGGAGAGGGGAGAGATGACGATCTTGCAGGGAGTAGCAGGGGAAAGGAGCGTGGCAAGAAGAAGTCGACAGGGAAAAGTAAGGAGAAGAAGATCAGCTCTGCACTTCACAAGGATCAACTGCGGGCAGTAAAGAAAACTGAGCTACGCCAGGCAGTGCAGCAGAGTGCCATCGAAGCTGGGGTGAGGATGGGCAGAACATACAGGGCACTAGCAGAGACGTCTGAAAGCTCGGAGGAGGAGTTCCTGGACAACGCCTGTGTGTTCTTATCATCAGAAGACGGCCAGTGTGTTGACAGCAGCTTTTGAGGAAGAGTACGTAGCAGAAGAGAACGATGGAGAGAAGGATGAGGAGGAGACAGACGGCGAGGAAGAGTAGGACGACCAGGAGGATGAAGATGGAGAGGGGGATGAAGATGAGGAGTGGGAGAATGCTGAGGAGGAGGATGAAAGAGGAGAGGAAGAAGACGAGGATGAGATGGGGAGTGACATCCCGGAACCCCCTCCACGAAGGGAGGTATCAGCACAACGGCATCAACCACCACTGCCCCCAAAGACCAGAAGAGGCAAATAGCTGGATCCAGATTCCAATGACGATCCCGATCCACCATGGGTGCTTCAGCCAGACTTCCCCCCCCCCCCCCCCCCCAGATGAGCATGGTTGGACAAGGAGTCTAGCAGACGTCTTTGTGAGACCGTTCAGGGGGTAAACACCACCAGGGCCTAAGTTTCGGCGAAGTGAATCTCCGGAGTCTCCATCACTTTTTTCAATTCTTCCCTCTTTCATTGCTCCTGTCCATCGTCAAGTGGACAAATCTCACGCTGCAGGAAGCATGGAAGTCAACCACCACCATACAGGAGATTCGGGCGTGGTTTGGCATCCACCTACCAATGGGCCTGAACAAACTGCCCAACTACCATGGCTACTGATCCAAGCACCCTGCCCTCCAAAACATCATGATTGCCAATACGATGTCTCGCAACAGATTTGACACACTCAACACCCACCTCGCCTGTAACGACCCAGACAAAGACCCGGCACTGCTAAGAAGCAAGACAAGGCGGCGCAGCTTCAAGCGCAAGAACCCCCTGTACCCCCTTCAGCCTCTCTGGAACAAAGTCAGACGCCGTTGTATAAACCGCTATCAGGCCCTGCGAGAGCTTGCCGTCGATGAAGCCATGGTGAGGTATCGAGGATACAAAGCTGGCATAAAGACATTTTGTATGCCCCTGGAACCCATCCGGGTCGATTTCAAGAGTCGACAACAGGAACCGTCCTCAACTTCATGGCCCACCCCTGGAGGAAGAAGAAGATGACAGACATCACGACCAAAGTAATGAAACACCACCGAGGCCGCTACCACCATGTCTTCACTGACCGCCTGTATATGTACCTCCATCCCTCTGGCCAGAACCCTGCTAGCCCATCAAATCTACCTGACTGGAGCAGTAAAAAGCAACAGCCGAGGCCTGCCCAAGGATCTCACAGGGAGATTACGCCAGATGAGAAAGTGAAGAGGGGCACTTTCTATTCCAGACAGAGCGGTCAATTAGTTGTGACAGCATGGAAAGACAGCAGGGTCATGATGGTGCTGTCCTCGGCCCATCGAGGATGGCAGGACCCGGAGAACCACAACGTCCAGTGCAAAGTCCCAGATAAGAGTGGCCGGAGGAAGTCGAAAACCATCCCAGCTCCCCCTCAGGCCGTTGACTACATCGCCACCATGGGAGGGGTGGACAGAGGCGATCAGCTCCGTGCCTACTACTTGTGCTCCTGGAAGTCACAGTACTGGTGGAAAAAAAGTGTTGTGATGTACTTCCTGATGGCAGCAACCCATCACTACACGGCAACATCTACCTCAGACACCACTGAGTCTGCCCCTGAGCCATCAGCAGCCCCAAGCCTCCAAAGAAGAAGAAGAAAACCAAGAAATAGATAAGAAAAAGAAAATTTAGAAGAGAAATTTCCAACGAGAAAGAGCAGTTTATAACCGGAAAAGAAAAAGAGAAAAAAAGAAAACCTTTCAGTTCTTTGTATTTTGTTGAAAAGTACAAAAAAGAAAAAGGACAAAAAAAGACAAACACTGTCCTAATTTTTAATTTTTTTTTAAAGGCAATGATGTCAACTTGACATTACAAGCAGATGTTGTGCAAGTCAAGTTTCTGAGCCACCCAAAAACTTAACCAAGATTTGGTGAAACATTGACCATCAACCCACTGGAGGAATTTATATGATTCAGGCAGTGGTGACCAGTAATATTTGAGGCTTTTGCAGGGTTCAGGTTACATGGCACTTTAACACTATGAAAAAAATTGGAGGATTTTGCAGGATTCAGGTCATGTGTGGGAAATTGGGGGTAGGGAAATGAGGTGTACATGCGATCATGTGTCGCGGCGACGCGACATGGCCAACTGCGTGCAGGTGCGCCTATATAATTAATTGATGAATACCGCAGGTGTATAGGATGAGCAACAAATGCCGGAGAACGTTGTTTCACAAGGGTGGTTTTGTTAGGTTTTGGCTGGAAGGGTTATTGCAAAAACAATGTACTTAAAAATATAGCCACGGCATATACTAAAAGTTATAATAAATTACCGAGAATGGGTCATTAGGGAGACTTTCCCATAGACTTGTGCACAAAATTTGTCAAACTTAAATGTGCCCTAACTTAATATTCCCTTGCCCTTTTCCCACGAATTTCAGTATTTTTACTATTAGACCACGAGCAACAAATATAACCTTGCGACAGTAATATTTTGCCTCTAAAGGGGGGCTGTGCCATTAGGGAGACAGTTATGTGTCTCCCTAATGACCGGTGTCTCCCTATTATAAAAAAAAAACGATAAGGTTAAAGGTGTCTCCCTAACATTTGCCTAATGGTACATTTAGTAATATATTGCTTTTAGTGCTATTTTAAGAGAATCTTTTAAATTAGTAAAATGTTATGTAGTACTTAAGCACATGGTTGATTTTCAGCAAATTTTTTTTCTCGGAAAAAGATGTCAGATTTTAATAGTTATGACCAAAAAAATCCAAAATAATATAAGAAACGTGTCTTTTTGGTTGCATCGTAAGATTTACACCCCTAGAAACTGCAAAGTATTAGCTATGACATGTTAACTATAATACTGACAAGAGTGGGAGACCAACAAAGACACTGTACGGTCATATTTTCAACTTCTGCAGGCCCGGAAGCATCTGCCTGCATTACTTTAGTAATTACATGAAGTTGTAAAAAGCTGATTTTTTTCATTTTTTGCCTGATTTCCTGGTAAAACCTTCGCATTCCACGTATTTTCGGCTGCTGGTTAAAGTTTGTGCATCAAAGGATACGATCCGAGTGAAAGTACGTCATTATTAGGATGCATGCGTTGCAAAATATAAACATGAGTGCGTAGAAATAGGAGCGCGTAGCTTTAGGAGGGCTGACGATACTGTAACGTTACTTGCGGACCCTGAGAATGTCAGACAACTCGACCGTTGAGACAACTCGACTCGAGACAGCTCAACCGTTGAGACAACTCGACCATTGAGACAACTCAACCCCTTTCCCTTAAATTGTTCCGGACAACTGGTCATTTTGAAAAAGAACAAAATATTCTGATAAACTTGAAGTACCGTACATTGTAAAAGTAAGATCTTAAGAGACCCTAAAAAACCAGCCTCCACAAAACGGTCCTTTTTCCCTTAAAATCCCAACCCAGATTCCACTTACATACATGTACTTCATAACCATGCAGCAGTCATTTCACGAAGTTAATGACCGACTTGAAACAGGTAAAACAAAAAATGTGAAAAATGTTGATGATTTCGGTGGCTTGTTCATAAAAAAACGTCCACTTCCTCGGCTTTCGTCCATTTTGTGTGGTTAATTATGCAAATGCAATGCCTCATGATGACAATCAAAAAATACGTGCGGGGGATGTATGTGGGTACCATACCCACTTTCAGGCACCGATAGTGGGTTGACTTTTCATCTAGTGCACTGACCTGGAAAGACAATGATTGTTTCGCACATTACACGTTTCATGCACAAGGCACTCACAGTCCCTTTCCACGACATGGCACCAGACGTAAATTGCGCCAAAAGCCCATACTGTCATACGGCACGGTGCACTTAAATACCGGTATCACTTCACAAAACAGTTGTACTTGTTGATTCAGCGCGACTTGTTTTTCTTTGAAAGTGACGTGACACACGCGCTCGATCGATCAATAAAATGGTTGGCACAACTGGGCAGACACATGAATTGTGAGTGGTAAGTTTATCAGACTATTTTGTTCTTTTTTTCCTTCAAAATTACCGGTTTTTTTTGAACAATTTAAGGGGTCTTATGGAATGTCATGAATGTGTGGATCTGTCCAGGGTAACTGTCTTTCTCATTTGTATTCTGGGGGCCTTTTGTCTTCGCGAGGGTTTGCACAAAATGCATACCAGCAGGGTTGTAGCTACGCTGGCCAGCGCTTGCCGGCGCTAGTCAGCATTCCAAATCACCGGCCGGCACTCGGGGTGAAAATGAAGCTTGCCGGCCGGCATAAATTTTGCTGCATTACATGGTGATTTTGGAGTTTTGACACAGAACACATTTTTTTTGTAATAAAAAATCGTCATTTTTCTACTTACATGCGCAATTTTTGAAAAGAAAATCCAAGTTCCCTTCACAATTCACTATCGCGGTGATGAAAACCATAATGCGCTGCTTGCAATGCTGCTGTACTGGTTCCCGCCGCACCGCGCCGCGCACTACATTTAAAGGCGTGATGGAAAGGCAGCAACCAGTCTATGCATTTGACAACATAGTGTATAAATTAAACACTGCAGTACAGGTCGTACAAATGGTCGTAAACATCGATGGAGAAAGAAGAATTCTGCAAGTGTATTCACAGAACTTTACCTCCCTTTTCTGTGTTTGTATTTTTCATTTTTCTTGAATTTATTTCGAGGTTGTTCTGGTCGTACACGAGGCGATACAGTGCAGCGTGTTTCGCGAAATTTCATGCCGCAGCATGTGGTTTTTCGCCCGCTAGATACACAGTGCTTTCTCGCTGCTCACGCCCCTTGTCTACTGTGCTTTCCACGCGATATACAGACAGTAAGGCCAGTTTCCCGTCGTAACTAGCGTTGTGCATAGTGGTGTGCAAGACATGAATTCTCCGTTATTTTTAAAGAATAATCGACATTAAATATTGTTTACGTTAATTGAGGCAAATTTTTATCACTTTTTGTGACCATTTTTGTGTAGCTTCGTAGCACAAATAGAAATAGTTCGGGCCCAAATCATGCGCAAATTACCCCATTCAATCAGCACAAACAAATGTGCAAATACAAAATTCTGACCTACCGGCCCTATTTTTGAAAGGAATGTAATCGGAAGCAGAACTTTATTGGGGGGGGGTATGGGCCTAGTTCTGGTAATTTAAAAAAATGAACGGTAAACAAATTATATGTTTCTTTAATTTCTTGCATTTAACATCAGGAACTTTAATAGAATCTCATAATGTCCTAATAATAGAATCTCATAATGGGCCAACCGAGTACATATACATGTACATGTACAATTACTCGGTTGGCCTGTGAGCCCGAAACAACCGGCACTAAAAACTTTCTAGCTACAACCCTGCATACCGTGTACCAGTCATCAAAGTATGCCTATTAGATGGAGCGCTAGTACAGAGGATACCAAAGTTCCAGCGCTCCACTCAGTAGAGCTACAGCCTTTTAATTAACTAGAAGTAGCCGAGTTCCGCATGCGCAAAATGGTAGGAGTCCCACCAGTGGGTACCTTACTACCTGACTTACATGGCAGGATGACTGTAAGACCATGTTAAAATTCTGCTAAAAATATCCACTTCAAAAATCTGCCAAATCGCCCAGTATATATTGCTGTTCCATTGTGCAAGGGTTTGTTTCAGAGATCTTTCAATCTGGGTTGGGATGATAGAGGGAAAATGGACCAGGTTTGTAATACACTGGGGATATACTTGACTAAATGTGAGCCACACAGTGATGCATGCTAAATGTCATTGACGTCAGGAGTTTTTTTTTTACAATTTAATGTGGTTTTCCTGATTGTTAATAGGCCATAATCCAAGCTAGCATTAGACTGCCTGTGTATCAACTTGACTGTTCTGCAACCTTTGGTTCGGAAGCATGCTTTCTTGGCCTGTTCGTCACTATTACATGTAGATGGAAGTAAAGAAGTTTGGCATGATTCCTGGATAGATATGACAAAATTTCCCTCTTGAAATTCAATTTGTAGGAATTCTCAAACAACTTGGGATTATGGTGCTTGTAAACTTTGTTGATGAAGGGCAAAACCCGGTGTAAATCACATGTAATCTCCCCAATGCAAAATCCATCATCAGCCGGGAACAATGCAAATCAACCTTACTGAGCCAGATCAGGATTAATAGCCGTAATTCTTTTTCCTGTACAACAGGCTTTTCAGGAGCTGCAGATTAAGATGATTGATACTTCCCAGCAACTGAAGATTGCTGATGTCCAGATCGAGCAGCTGAGACGGCAACAGCACCATGCCCGTTTGACAGACAGTGAACTTTCGCAACTACCTCCTAGCACAAGGGTCTACGAAGGCGTTGGTCGAATGTGAGTAGAAACATTGTGATTGCAATTTCTACATGTATAGGCCTATTAATTCAATAATCACATCGACAACTTTTTTTGCCAGTAAATTCACTGAATCCACCACACCCAATGGCACACAGTCTTAGGACTTCCAACTTTGAAGGGGCATCAAGGCTCTTAAGTTAGTGGCTCACATCCCAGGGGATTTTGAATGATCTTGGAGGGGTAGGATCAACTCTTCACGTAACTCTGTTGGCATTTCATTTTGCCTGGAGTCTTTGTGAATCCTCCCATTATCCACAGTCTCTGTGTAGTGTGTAGGAATGTAACAATTCATTCAAAAACTTTCAAGGGGTTTTAGACTATGGATGTGACGTTTACACGTGTAAACGTTTAAACGAAAAAAAATCAAATCCGTTTAGAAATTTTCACAAATATTTAAACGGAACTCAAATTTTGAAAATGGGACCTTGTATTTTGCGCAATCTACCCTCCAGTTTTATTTACAAAGAAATTAAATTGTATCAGCGCACTGTTATCTTCACTGCTCCACAGAGAGCCGCACAACGCCCCATAAAGACCTCCCTGTGCTCACAGACGTGCGGCACATAGTGCAGCGCTGGAAGAAAACAAGCATAGCAGTCGGCATCACGGCTGAACGCACTTGATACATCACAGCCCGCCGTGCACGTGGCACGCCGGCGATAATTTCTCTGAGCTCAAAATTCTTGGGCACGATCTTCAGTTTGTAACAAGATTGGAATGCTTCCAGGTATTGCTACATGTATCTGTTGACTGACACGCTAAGAACTTTCTCAGACTACAAGGGAACCAATCTCTTAAGCGACATGCATGAGCATGAGATGATGAGAATGTTTTCATTCTTTTGGCGCTAAATGTGTTGATCGATTCTGATAAATTTATTATTTTGTTTATAAGTGTTCACATTCGCCAAAGAAATTCTCACTGGCTAGCAGCTTGTTAGCATGAATGTCCCAGAAGTAACTCCACCTGGGGCTGCTTATCAACAAAGATATACAATGTATAAGTGTTGAAGGTCGCCTGTCAATCACTGTCTCGAAATTTCTTTCCAGACAATAGTATATTTTTTTATGAGACACTTTTCTATTTCCCGGCTGGAATAGGGGCACATTTAATACAGCACTAGCATTTAATGCTTAATGTCAAAATATATTCCAAGTACATTTACACAAAATATTGTAGGCCATACATTTTCTGTAACCCTAACTCCTGGGGCTCTTTTACTTTACTAAGTATCCTGAATCCGCCAAAATCCACCAATTTTGTCATGCAAAAAATGCTGGTATCCTGAGTCCATCAAAATCCCCCAGTGTAGATACTGGAGGTATCCTGAATCCGCCAAAGTCCACCAGCAAGAGTCTTGATGGATTCTGGCGGATTCATACGGTGGCCCACAACTGTCACGGCAAAATCAAAAGCGCCACGGCAAGCGCAAAAGCGCCGCGGCAAGCGCAACAGCGCCGCGGCAAGCGCAACAGCGCCACGGCAAGCGCAAAAGCGCCACGGCAAGCGCAAAAGCGCCACGGCAAGCGCAAAAGCGCCGCGGCAAAAGTAAAAAGTGCCGCGGCAAAAGAAAAAGCGCCACAGCAAAAGAAAAAGCGCCGCAGCAAAAGAATAAAAAAGAGAAAAAAAGAAAAGAAAAAGATGCGCGAAGTCATAGTGGTGTAAATTGAATGAGTTGGGGGGGGGGCAAAATGTCCCTGCCCCCGTCTAAAACTGAGAAATCGAGAATTTGTTCAGAAATACAAGAATTTTTTGGGAAAAAGATGTTTTGCCCCCTCTAGAAAAAATCCTGGCGACGCCCATGAGTTCACCGGTGTGTATACCAGTGTAGGCACACAATTGAGCTGCCCAGAGTTTGGATATATAGAATAAGAAAGAAAGAAATTAACTTAGAACCTAGAACTCATTGGCCCACCCACCCCCGGCTCAAGAAACCAAGAAGCTGAACAAGACCTCATGATGCTTAGCGATAGCGATGATGAGTTGCCCTGTGGACAGTCTTCCACATCATCGCAGAATCAGCCTGCAGGGCAGAAAGAGGGCTTGTTTCCGGCATCAAATAGTTCCGTATTCACTCGAAACAAAGCAAACGGCTCTTTTCAGAGCCACCAAATTTTCATAGAAGAGCTTAGAACTGTGCATCTGAACGATAACACTTCTCCTTTGTTTGATGTCTCTCCCTTACCCCCCACCCCCTTTTTTAAGTTAATTTATTTCTTTCTTATTCTATATCCAAAGTCTTCGCCTGTGTTACGTTCCTTACATGAAATCCACGACCTAACCTCCTCTGTCGAAAGCGTTGCAACTGTCTAATAGAACGATCCATTTCTCGATTTGTTAGTTATCTCATAGAGCAAGGTCAGTCGTGTTTATTGGGAAGGGGCGTAATCATACATGCCGCCACTACATCTAAAATTAAAAGAAAAGGAGTATGGCCGCCACCATGAATTGAGAAGTGATTTTATGGCTGAGAAAATAGCAAGGAAAACCGGTCAGTGCAAGCATGGTACAAGCAACGTTCAGAGAATAGTTTTGAAATTCCCGCTCTCTGGGAATTTCTAACCTAATGGGCCCGCGGGCGAGTTACGTGTTGACAAGCCTTACCCACCCACTGCCGCAGCCCTGCAGGAGAGCCTTAATCGACTTCCTAGATGTGTATGATATACTGAAAAAGAAAAAAAACTTAACTCATACACTCTGGGCAGCTCACTTGCGTGCCTACACTGGTATACACACCTGTGAAAAAAGGCTCAAATTAACGGAACTCTTCTCTGCATGCTAGTCGGAAGGGAAAATATGTCTTCAAAAATGCATCAGCTCACAGAGCCTCCCGTCCTCGTAATTGTTTGCATCCCACGAAATGTAAAGAAATGAGGAACGGCCCTGATGGTGCTGATATAGCGAGTCCTACTTTCCCTCTCCTTTATAAACTCTGAATCACGGCAGGAACTCTCTTGGAATAATCTTGGAATCCTACAACAAATTAATATCGCCGATTTATCAGTCCCTGAACATTGCTTCACTGACCGGTTTTCCTTGCTATTTTCTCAGCCATAAAATCACTTTCTGTGCGTAATAAGAATTCCTGGTGGCGGCCATTCTCCTTCCCATTTTATTTTTTGATGTAGTAGCGGCATGTATGATTACGCCCCTTCCCAATAAACCCGTGGCGCTTTTGCTTTCGCCGTGGCGCTTTTGCGCTTGCCGTGGCGCTTTTGCGCTTGCCGCGGCGCTTTTTGTTTTGCCATGGCGCTTTTTGTTTTGCCGCGGCGCTTTTTGTTTTGCCGTGGCGCTTTTTCTTTTGCCGCGGCGCTTTTTCTTTTGCCGCGGCGCTTTTTCTTTTGCCGTGGCGCTTTTTCTTTTGCCGCGGCGCTTTTTCTTTTGCCGTTGCGCTTTTGCGCTTGCCGTGGCGCTGTTGCGCTTGCCGCGGCACTTTTGCTTTTGCCGTGACAGTTGTGGGCCACCGTAGATTCAGGATACCATGGTGGCATAAACAAAAATACAGCATGTTTTTTCCATAGAGTCTTCAAAATCCATCACCTAAATTTGTGGTGGAGTTTGACGGATTCAGGATACCATGCTCGCATGAAAATTGTGATGTGTGTTGTTGCATAGGATCCATCAAAATGCACCAATGCATGGTGACCCCAGCATAGAGTACCAAAGTGAATACATCTCGTGCACAAAATTTGTGTGAAAAACATTAGCGCGTGTTTCAGCCCGTAAACCATAGATAAAATGAAAAGACTACCGGTAGATCGGCAGCGCGTCCACACGCGCCCATTCACTGTGTGATAAATCTCCGCCATTTTGGTTGTCTCTAGTAGGCGCGTAACAAATTAACGCAAAGTAATGGAGCTAAATGTATCTTTCCTCCAGCACGTGACCTAGCTCAATGCGCGCGAAGCTAGAAATGCGCACCGAGTATTTACGCGATGCGCACACATAATTATTAGCGATGCACATGGTGCTCTTTGCGCCTAAACAGCGTTGCGTTCGTCACGTTTTCGCGCATTATTTGTATCTTTCCTCCAGCACGTGACCCTCCATGCAAGTCCACCCAGTACATGTGTGTACATGTTTGTACAGTATGTGACAGACTTGGCAGGGCTAGTGCCAGCAGTATTTACTTGACCACAAACATTACAAAAGAGTTAAACTTTTGAGATCCTGAATCCATCAAGTCCCCCAACAGCTCAAAATAGAGGTATCCTGAATCCATCAAAATCCGCCAGTTCCGCTAGGCTTACAATCCTGAATTCATCAAAATCCCCCAGTTTGTGCAATATGAAGGTATCTTGAATCCGCCGAAATCCCCCGAAACAGGGGGGTGGATTTTGATGGATTCAGGTTCGTTAGGTTTAAATAAACGAAGTCACGAAGAATACAATCGTCATCCCCTTATTTTTCCGGCCTCAAAACGATTTCAAAAACCCTAGCTTGTTAAAGTTTGCACGCTCAGTTAATTCTTCTGTATATTCCAGGGGAAAATTTAATATGAATTATGCTCGGTTTTTCTTATTATGAATATGAATGAATATGATCAAGATTAATTACAGCCTTTAATGTCAAAATATATTCCGAAATATTATATTCTAGAGTAGAACAGTACACAAAATAATGTAGGCCATGCGGTATTTTTAAAAAATAAACGAAGAATAAAATCGCCATCCCTTTTATTGTCCCAACCTCAAAGAGAGAGACACCAAATAAATGGGGGTTATTTTAATACGATTAAATATGTCTGGTACTCTCGAATTTTTTTTAAGTAAAATGATTTCAAACACCCTCTAGAGCCAATTAAATTCTGAACTCTCAGTTAATTATTCTGTAGATTCCATATGGTGCAATAGTCCGAGTAACTTGGACTTAACTTATCGCCTTTAACATTCGGACGTGGTCTGGCGATAGTAGGGTCCAAGCTAATCCTTATATGCCGAGCAACACAATTCTATCATTGACCAAAAAAAACAACATTGCCCAACGAAAACATTAGATTTAACCCTCAAAACGGCCTCCAAATTACTAGATACGCCACCTGAGGTACAAGTAGACATCGATAATTAAGATGGTTATACTGAAGTTTACTTACGATCCGGATGAAAAGTGAAATTTCCCGTTAAGGTTGGTGATGCTGATTGTTAGTGACGCACATGTATACACATGTACATGTATAACACATGGACATGTATAGGCCTATAAACATGCTCGACTAGAAACATACTTTGGAAGGTTCAGCCTTTGTGAAATGGCTTAACGTTTAACGGTTCTCAAGATATTTGCTAAATGTTTACAAAATTAAATGCAAAGTCACTTCCTTATACTGTACCTCAAAATGTGTGTGTATAAGGTGACAGGTTTTAACAGTTCTGTACACTGGCCTCATATTGGTATAATTGACAGTCTGTGGTAATTTTGTACCATACCTTGACTGACATTGATAGATGTGGTGGGTCAGCACTGGTGAGTGCCTGTCAATAATGAACCAATAAGGCACAAACGGTTCACTCATGCATTCCAGCCAAACAAAGGCATTGCCTTTGAAAATGGCTGCTACACAAGCTGTAGCAGTACTTATTAATGGTCACCCTACATGTATCTATCAAACCCCTTCAACAGGCTGTGACAGTTATAATACGGTGTGATCCATAGGGGACCAGCCTGTACTATGGGAGAGGAAGTGGATAGATTTGTTGATGGTTTGTGACAGATATATCCATAGCAGGGTGAAGAGGCATGCCGGGTCCCATTCATTGTGCATATAATATGCACAGTTGAGACCAAGGCTTTTGTCCCTAAAAGCAAACAGTGTCATCTTTTTAGGCATGCAACTTTTCCTCGGATCTGCTGTTGTCCTCATTTTTTACTTCCCATGAATGCCATTACAAATTGAAAAACACTGTACAAAGTCTTGTGTGGTTTGGAATTTCCTCACTTTTTTCTAAATTCCCAGTTGCATGCCTGCATCTTTGTTGGCATTATTTGGCAAACATCATATTAAAAGTATTGTGAAATTGTTCAAAAGAAGTACAAATGTAACTTACCAATGGAGGGTTTGCGATGATGCAATTTGATCAGTTTTTAGGAACAACCCCTGTCCTAGGTTGTTCATATTACATGTAATAGGGGCCTGTGTTGCTAGCTCAAACAGACAGGATTCTTTGTCAACACTTTTAATTATTTCTATATTTTAGAAGCTCCTAAAATCCTTAAGTCGAACATTTACCATTTAAACTGTACTAGAGAAATCCATCCATTTTCTTCTTTTAATTTTTTTTTTATTTTGATCAAGATTGGATTATTTTTCCCTTTTCAAAACTTGAAGCGTCAAATTGATATCAAGCTTTCGTGTTCAATTTATAACTACATGGGCAATCATCAACATCATGGATTTCAGCAGTTTTGGCTAACTTATTTTTCAAGACTCTGCATTTATCCATTTTCAGTTTTATTTATTTCGTTAATTCTTATTTGGCAGGTTCCTTCTGCAAGATATTGCCAAAGTAAAGGAAACATTAGAAGGCAGGGTCAAGGCAGCCGACGATAAAATCAAGAAGCTACAGGTACTCAGAAGATTCTAGTTTTTCTCTTGAATTTCCTTCCTAAACTCATTTTATACATCCCTGCCAAAAAGAGATTTGTTTTTTGTTTGTGTTTTTTTGGGTGGGTTCCTTTTAATTTGTGATGTTTATTTTGTTCTTCTTTAGTAGTGTTCTGTGGTTATATTATCTTGACAATTCTTCTCCACTGCTTTTCTTTCAAATGGAACAATGCATGAACTTCAAAATTGGTATGAACATCAATCTTGATTCAGAGGTGTGCATACAAGTGTGACGTCATGATGATGTCATCAGCTGTCAAATTACAAGTGATTTTAGTTTAAAAAGGGACCGTTTTTGTTTCAATCATAACTCATAAACAAAACGATGAATTTCACACTTTGTGATCTGATAGACCATGCCTTGATGAACTTTCTTTGTCACATGTATACATGAAGTTGCTTGACCTTTACTTCCGGAGTTAGAGGAACGTCAAAGCTTGGTGGATTCAAAATACCTTAATAAGTGTCGATATTAAAGCAAGCTATAATGAAACTCTGCACAAACATGAATCCTTTTCCAAAGATGTGAGGTAAATTCTGATGTCATCTTGACGTCATCACACATCAAATTACAAGCAATTTAAGGTCAAAATTTAACAAAATACTTTAAAACTATACATGTATCTCTTTAACTGAATTAATTACCCGTGTTCATTTATTGCGATGTGGTAGACATTGCTTTGGGCAACATTTTGATTCCCGTGCACAGAACCACTTGACCTTTAATTCCGGGGTTATCGGAAGTGCAATGATATGTGAATTATGTAACTTGAAAACGAAAGCATTTTACTATAGTAATAGTAATTCAGAAAATGTTCAGTGAGATATGGTGAGCTCAAAAAGTCATGGTGTGCCATCGTCCCAAAAACTTAAAAACCAATCTTAACAATTTTACTAAAGTGCCTGTATACATTCTTTGAACAATAAAATATTACTTTGAAAGTTCATAATGATGACATCATCATACCGGAAGTTGTTGCAGGGAGACTTTGGAAATGATCAATTATTTTGCATTTTTACATTTAAATCCATCATTCGATACCTATTCGGGATCATTGTTGCCAAAATAATAATGTCTATTGACGATGGGCACACTTATGCTGTGACGTCATCAAACCAAAAGTTAGGAATCATTGCACGTACACATGCACGTTCACATGTACGTTCGTGTTAAATTTATATTTAACATATAAAACATATAACCGGGGTTTGCCCCGGTGTTTCTGGCAGTGGCAGTAATGTGCGCCGCAGCACCTTGTAAACCATTATAAGGTGCTACATAATGGGTCTCATATCTCTCATAAACTTTAGTTACCTTTCTTTAATAATTGACATAATTTCCAGCGCCTTGAGTACCTAATTGTTGCTATATAAGACTCCGTTATTATTATTATTATTATTATTTAACACTGACTCCATTTGTTTCTTCTCTCAGAACAACAAGGCGTACCTGGAGCGAACCCTCAAGGATAGCGAGAGTAACCTGAGGGAGATGGTAGCACAAAAACAGGCCGCCAAGTCATGATGACATGTACATGTAGCTGCTACTGAAGCCAAATGTCATGGAGCTACTATAAAGTAAACAATTATTGCTCAGCAACTTTATGTCCCCTGCAGAAATGGCTAAGAGCCACTCACAGGCAACAAACAGAGATAACCTACACTTACCTTTACTGAGTAGCGTCATCAAATTGGCTTCAGGTGACTGCTTTGTAAAACTAAAAACAAAATAACTTGTGTTGATGTTAGAGGTAGAATCATAGGTCTGAGAATGTGCCTAGCCTCAAGTCAGACTGTCCCTTGTACTGTGTGTCTTTACTGCATAGGCTCTTTGTGTCAGAAGAGTGGATGGCGTAGTCTAGCCTATCTACGACAGCTACATTGTAGTGTTGCAGACCCCCGAGTGCCTGCTCACACTGGTCCATGCATGTAAAAGGATACACAACCAATTTCTCATTTGAATGTTCACAAACCTGTCTGGTCTGTGCAGAGGAAAGTAGATTGTCTTTGCAGAGGAAAAGAGTGTCTCTGCAGAGAAAGTGTCCTTCATATCTCTTTCATATCTCTCACTCTCTCTCACCATTTGAGAGATACTTGTGCAGAGTGTATATTGTACGTATGCTTTATTCACGTCATCATTAGGTCTTCTGCTCATTGGATAAAAATATTTTTCCTCAAGCTCATGACTTGATCAAAATCACACATTTACCTTGTGGAGAATGAAAAATGAAATGTTAAGGACTTAAAATATGATTTGTTAGCTCTTTGTATACTTGGTATACTTTGTACAAGATTTGTGTATGTGCATGTAATTATATTGTGTTAGCAAAAGCCTGTAAAACGTGTATGAATTGCTTTCTGTTTTGCATCCTGTGAATACATGTGCTTGAAAATAAAGTTTGAATGCGCATTCTATGAAATCCTTGTTTTATGATATTGCATAGTCTGGTGTCAAATCCCTCAATAGTGACCTCGTAATCATTATAATTTCCTTATTCCACCATTGCATTTTCATTTGGTGGAAATTTACCAACTAACTGGAAGCTTTGTAACTATTTGAATTGGCTAGTCTTATGGTTACCTGGCGGTGGCCCTGGATACCAGGAACAAATAAGTGACGTCACATAAACAGTGATTAGGACATGCAACAGCCGTCGAGTCGAAAACGGACTGTGTATACAGAACGTACGTACTACTGACCCAGCGGATGTTAGATATCTCACCTCCGGGATCATTATAAGGATAATTTCAGTTTGTATGTTGTCTAGCAGCGGCTGCCGCATAATCCTTAGCAACAACTCTTCAGAACCTGAACTTTAAAATTTGACACAAATCTACACGAGCTAATAGTCTAACAGAATATTTCAATAAAGGCGCTTGGTTGGCTATAATCCTAAACCTGCCTTGTAGTTTGTCAGGGAAACAAAACAAAAGGTCCTTAGCAAAGGACCCATGACATGAGTAAGCAACTTACCACGTATGCTTCTCCGAAGTTTAAAGATTGTTTTCTTAATTGTTTTCCTCTGTTCTGTATTTTGGTTCCGATTTCAACTTGTGGTACGCTTTGATGGGGGGGGGGGGGCAAAAAAATTATTAAATGGTCACCCAAAAATAGGGGTCCAAGAATTATGAAATGGGGTGCAGTTCAGGGCCGCCCCGAATTTTTTTGGATTCTAGATGTTCTGTGGTGCAATCTGAGACAATAATTTTCCGACCACTTTAACCAAATTATTTTGGATCTCCAGATCCGCCCTTGGATATAAACTGAGGCCACCAGTAGAACATTCGCTCCATTTAAGTATATATAATATTTTGGGCATATATAGAATTTAGGGCAAAACAAGAAACACTCCTTGCACCCACATGGGATGGATTTATTACGATGTTCCACAAAACCCTATACAGCCACCAAGATTGAACTTCAGCGTCGACAGGATCATGGACTTTCGTACGTACGGTAACTTTCGCATCTTGCCTCAGACCTCGAGTGCGCCAGCAACTCTGAATCAATGTCAAACTGAGGGCCAAGAGCAGTAAAGGTGACCTCTCCTTCCCCAGGGATTAAAGTAGTTGCGACTTAAAGGCCACACAAATAACATAAAATCAGGATATTGTCGGTGTAGTGCCAGAATATCAAACATCTCTGTTCCTGGGTGAAGATATCCCTTCCACGAGAGAGGTTTTTGGTCTCTTTATCACCTACATTCATGAGATGTTTCAGCACCCCACCCCTCCATGCGCCCCAGAACCTTGAAGCCCAGCAGGCACTAGTTTTTGTCATCAGCTGGTGAGGAGGGCTGTGCAGTGACTTGCCAGGTCCTCTAAATTAACATTAAATACTGTTTTAGAGGTGAAAGAGACGGCCAACAAGTTCTGTAGAACTCAATCCCTCAAGTAAGCAAGGGCGGATCCAGAACACAATTTTTGGGGGGGCCAAAAAAAAATTGTGTCTCCCAAAAAGTGGGTCAAAAAATTACGGCGTGGAGTTCGAGGCCCACTTAAGGGCCCCGAAAATTTTTTTGATTCTCGATGCTCTGTGGTGCGATCCGAGTACTCATTGCATGCCTTTATTGCGTCACATAGAATAAAAAATTGGTTTCGGGGTTTTTTTGGGGGGGGGGCCATGGCCCCCTTTGGCCCCCCCCCCCCAGGATCCGCCCTTGCAAGCAAGTTCAATGAGTCTGCGTGTTCAAGATTTAGAATTGAAAGGCAACCCAATATAGTAACCGAATAAACGTTCAACATTTTGTGTTTGTAGGTTGAAAGTTAAATTACAAAGTTAAGTGTTTCTTAAAGTTGAGGAATTTTGGTGTCTATATAATGATTGATCCGTGGTCTAATCAAAGGCAACAAACACCTACATTTGCATGATCAAATGTTTGACTATGCCGTTCATGTACTCAGACATCTCCTCTAAATGCTTGTCTATTATGATTTCATTTAAAAAGGTAGTTAAACGTAAACATGGCTGGCTTGGCTGCGCATCGTTGAGTACGACATCCAACAGCCGCTGTGACAGTTGTACGTACGTTCTGTATACACAGTCCATTACTGACTCGACGGCTGTTGCATGTCCTAATCACTGCTTATGCGACGTCACTTATCTGCTCCTGGTATCCAGGTCCACCGCCAGGTAACCATAAGACTAGCCAATTCGAATTCCCCAAAGTGCAACCTTTCCAAAAATACCCACTAAGCACTTGGTCATTCCCAAAAAATAAATGACCCTGGCTCTTGGACTAATTGTGAGTGGACAAATAAGTCTTGTGCAGTCTTGGTATACATTTACACCAAATTGTGAATGTTTATTATACATTTCAGGATAACTTGGATGCTAACATTATTATTCACCAGTTAATATAATTATAATAACTAATAGCGCATACATGAATTCATCAATATACATACAGGAATGGTATACAGCCTTAACTGCCTCAAACCTGAAGAAGAAGAAAAAATCACTTGTCTTTTATTTGCCCATCCCCCACAAACAAAGTATCCTATAGTAGATGTAAAAATAATAATGACAACTGATGCAGTGACATAAAGTTTTACTGAAGGAAAAAAAGTTGTAAGTATTGTGTAAAAATAATTAAGCCAAAATATCAGAAAGTTATTCAGGTAAATGATGGATATTGGTTTCACTCCATTTTTTATTGAAGATAAAATTAGAAAATGCCAGGACAAACTGCATGTAGTACACCCGAGTTCAAGCTGTCGTGGCCCGGTGTCAAATTCCTTCACTAATTTAGAGAAAAAATTGAATGAGCACATCCAATCAATCATTTGGTTGGAAATTGTCCAATGTTTGACCATAAATTCACATTCGCCTGGTCTTTTCCGTGTCCCCCAAAGACAACTTTGACTGTCCATTGCCTTTCGTTTTAAATATTACTTTTTATGAAAACTACACACATCTGTCCTTTCCTTTAAAGAAAATGACAACTTGAAAAACAGCCATTGTACTGGCACGAAATGATGAGTCACATTTAGTTTCAAGGAAACTGGAAGACATTACATACCAAATTTAGTTAAGAACTTTTACAGGGCTTTTAATTAATCCAAACCACCACGGGCGGGGGTTCAAACTAACTCGATCCGAGTCAACTCGGTCCCACCATCAGACAGTCCAATAATTTGTTAGTCTTGGCACTCTTGGGTCAAAACATTGTTATTGTTATAACCTCTTTGTTAAAAAAATCTTCATATTAGTTCAATACTGGTACTTTGTTTACCCCTATAATGCTTGCTTTTAAACCTTTGTGAACAATTTCAGTGTCATGAAATTCAAGAAAGTCCGAAATTCACATACGATCCCGAAATTGGGCACAAAATCTGCCGACCTTAACATTTAATAATTATTTCTTTAATCTCCGGCTCCATCTCTTTTAAAGTTGACAAATTCTGATAAACCATTGTCATCTCCACTCACATAACCAGCTACAAGTTTGTCAGAAAACTATTTTCTTATTTTTGGGCACAAAAATATCGGAAAATCATGCCAAATATCAAAATTCTCTGTTAGCTTTGTACGGTTAGGTACATAAACTCAAGATTTATGAACGGGAATGTTTAGAGCTTAACAAAATTTCACTTGCTGTTGGAAATGTTTTTGCTTTAACAAGGCACTAGGGCCGGGCTGAAACTAAAGTGCGCCATGTTAAGGGCCGCGCCAGCCTTTATCAGGGTACACCATCTTGAAAATCAAAGCAAAGTTACAGCAGATAAACACTCCTATAAATGGATGGATAGCTCAAATTCCCCAAAACATCCATCTACATTATAGGTAGGTCACGCCTCATTGTATTTTGAAGAAGGATCTTATAAATTAAAAGCCCAAAACCAGTGGCTTGACTGAAGTTTCCGGCGGCGGGTTTAATAGGCGTATCGCTGCGGTGGGATATCACATATCTACAACAACTCATTGGATCGTCAGCCGGAGGGACCGAGTCGACTTTGGACCGAGTTGACTAGGACCAAGTTGGTTTAGGACCGAGTTGACCTGCACCCAGGGGGCAATGCTTATGTCATGCTCAGATAGGCGTGACTTGCCTTTCTTGCATTGGTTGCTACTGAAGTGCTTCTGAAGTTGTTTATGTTTGGCAGGTGGGCACAAGCCTACAATGATGCGCATGTACTTTTTGGTCTTTTGCCGCCCATTAGGTAGAAGCGACAATATATTAAATGTGTAAATGGCCCCAGCTCTGGCATTTATAAATACACCTTATACCAACCACAATAGCTCAGGAGTACAACATACATGTACATGTACATTTACATTGGTGAATTATTTTGTATGAATTAAAAAAAAAAATCCCCCAAAACACATCCAAAAAAGCCACAAAAATTCCTACTATTGAAATATTCTTGGGCAAATAAAAGTAAACAATATTTATCTTTTTATGCACTGCCACTTCTCAAAAACAGCATTCCTCTTTGCAACTTAATGCTAATTCAATGTGCCCATTTTGTTTTACCGAGTAACATTGAGGTTGGGTCGCCATTCTGTCTTGTGTCTCAAGTCACATGAGGTAGCATTCAAAAACTATATGGATTATTGTCTTTTTTTAATACACTAATGAAATGACTTTGTGGCTGAAAAAAAATCAGCCACCGTTTTTAAATACAATAATGTACTCCCAATGCACCCACATTAAAAAATATATGACCTGTTGGAACATTTCATGCTTTTTTTACATGATTATTTTCTTGCAGCATATAAAATGAAAAACTCAGCATTTGTCCAGGAACCATTTCTTACTGTTACTTGTCACTTTGATTTCCAATCTTTTTTTATATATATATTATGTAAATGATTATACTCACTATTTTCTACATTAAAATGCAGCACCAACAAATTTTGTTCTTTTACAGTCATTACTTCATCTAATTTGTTTTTTTAATTTTACTTAAGTGGCATGTTGGTTTCTTTTGGAACAGTTCATTGACAAAATGTGGAGAATTATACTCATAATTACATTGACATAATGTTGAGAATCATACCCAATTCATTAATCTTATTTTGAACAATTCAAATTAAATCATGTGACTTGTTTTTTTCCCATAACGTCATATTTTACATATGTCAAAATAATGTTTCAATGACAGTTTAAATCCAGGTTTTTGACAGGATAATGGTAAAAATGTCAATGTCATTAGCAAAAGGTTCATGCACCTACATGTGACAGAGCAGTAGTTTGAAGACATTGAGCACTGGGTTTAAAGGGAATATACAACATTTGCAAACATCGAAAAATAAAACTACCAAGTTTTTGCGAAATACCTTAATAGGACGTTGGTAAATGACAGTCTAAAGCATCCTGTAAAATTATGGCACCTGGTATACTGTCATTTTCAAGAAAAGTGGTATTTTTGTATCAATTTCCAACGCTGATCGGCCGATCAGCGTTGGAAACAACTGGCTTTTTTTCAAATACTGGCCCCAATTGACTATTGCACTTGTTTGCAATCGATTACAAACCTATGAACGGGTACGAGCCAGCTAGACTGGTTCCCTGACCTTACAATTCCCCAATGTATGTAAACTGCTCTGTTTCTTCTTATATGGAGTCAGGGAACCAGACTACAGGTAAATGATCGTTTTTCTTGGTTTTTATAGCATTTTCGAACCCAAAACCTCCAAAAAGTCAGTGTAACTATATTTGCTTTATATTTCCAATCCCCCAATTCCATCCATTTCTGAAAATTACAGCAAAAGCAAATGATGTATATTCCCTTTAAGCGAAAGATTGAAACTGTGATTATGCTAGCTTTTTCAGGCACAACAGTGACAGAACTATAATGCTGGATATTCCTTGCACACAACTTTACTAGATTCTTCAAAATGTTATTCTCCTTTCCAATAAACTTCCAAAGACAAATTAAAGCAAAACTACTTGGCTAGCATCATAACATAAATATATGTTCTTATTTAAAGAAAATGGTCCCATATCAAACACCATTATAACATGTATATGAACATTTCTCAACAAAGGCACTTTTTAGAACACTGGATTACAGAATAACTCGGGCAAACCTGGTTATTAACATCATTCTACCAGATATTTACCAGTTACTATACAACACGCAGAAAGTCAAATATCTCATATAAAAATAAATTTGTCAGCTACCTTGAATGCTAGGAACATCAAAACCTGTCAAACTGTTGTTATTCAGTCCCTCTAGTGACACTTTTCATAGGTCTGATCATTCTTATCAACTAGCATTTTCCCTTTTTTAATACATGTAAGTTATCTGGCTGCTTGATGCCCAACTGTCCTTTTACTCACTTGGAATTCTTAGGAATAAGTTTGGGTGTGTTCATATAAAAGTTGTCTGGCCACGCCCGCCTCGTTCCCACCACTCTGTCATACTCGTCAGTGTTGGGCGCGGTTAGGGTTAGGACAGTGGGAATGGCTTTGGAGTCACCATCAATGTCCACAAAGTCCTGGCCCATCTGTAGCTGCTCCTGTTCTATGGACAGCTTGCGATGCAGCAAGGCATGGGCTGCCACGCCTCCAGCCAACTTGAAGGTGGGCTTGGGCATGATAACTGGAGCCCCTTTCCTTGGGGTCTGATAACCGGAAGTCCCCACTCGTCGCAGAGTGGGAATGTGGGCAGGCTCCATGTAGCGCTCAGTCTCTGCAGGGTAGGTGGGAGCTTTCCTCTTACAGGACTGATAGAGTGGGAGGGTTGCACTGGCTGAGGGAATGGTTAGCCTCTCTGACGAGGATATCAACTTCTGCAATGAATAAAATATAGAACAAAGAATGGAAAGCTTGTTAGTTGTGTGGTTCTGAGAAGATCCAGTTGTTTTAACTCAACGTTTCAAACAGTGTGCTCTGTTTGTCATCAGGAGACTGCCGGAATAAAATATAGAAATGAATATTCTGCAAACTTCATGAGCTGACCTCGGGTTTCAATTCAGATGGAGCTGCTAAGTAGAAAACATTGCTCAAATTTACGTCAAGAAAAAATTGAGAACTTGTTACAAAAAATGAACTTTCCACAATGAACAACCTTCAAACAGTGAACACATGACATTTGGGTCAGATTTTGCTGAGAGAAACCTTTGGTTTTATGTTGAATTCACTAAATTTCTTGCCTTGTTAACATTTGTTTTAGGATACATTTACCCCCCCCCAAAAAAAAAATGGAAAAAATATATATGCCTATTCAGCTCAATAGGCACTAAAAGTCTATAAAAAAAACGGAAGAAATAATTTTTAAACTTCTGAAAAGTATCCCAGAACAAAGACCGTAACAGCTAGGCTCAATTATGCTGTAGAATTTTTTGTGCCCCCCCCCCCCAATTTTTTTTTGGGGGGGGGTAAATGTACATGTACCACAATTTTATGTAAATGTGGATATTTAAATTAAGTCTAAAAGGTTTTTAAATACATCTAAACAGGCCTACACATGGAATGTCACCACCCATTGACTCGTGAATTTCAGTGAAATCAAGTTGCAAAAAATAAAAGAAGATTTGCACGGAACAAGAGGGAAAGAAAGTACAATGTACCACATTTCAGGCCATGGCTGGAAAAGTTTTGGACCATTTCCTCCAAGACGGTAACATTTCCATGACACCCTCCAGCAGCCATATAATACAGAGGATGCTGGTTGATGGGCCTTCTTCACATGACTGAGTGTCACTATAAATGAGTTGGTTAGTTTTCAGCATGATGCATGATGCCACAGTTTCCAAAATTAGATTTTTGAAACGTGGAATTTGTTCCCTTCAAACTGTTATTGCTGCATCAGGCGGATTGTTTTGAAACTAATTTCTAGGATTGCTGGGCAAATATTATCAGATTATGTTGTTACTTTATCCACATGTTCACATTTTCCTGTTTCTGGAGTGTGGCAAACAAACGCCAGTTGTGGGGCTTATGCAAAAGTCAAATTAACTCGGTCCAAATTTTCATTGCAATAGAAATCATCCTGATGTCTTTCACGTATATTCATGAAGAAATTAGTTATAGCAGAATTAACATGCATTGGAAATCGTGGAACATATTGCAATCAAGATAAGCCTTTAGAAGGTAAAAATGCAGCATATTTGCAGTTCATCTGAGATATGGTACCTATATAAGTACAGAAAAAACACACTCATAATTTCCCATCACATTATTCTTGTTTTCCAAGAGTCTTCAGCATTGGTACCATCAGTGCTTTCCACTACATGTTTGTTTTTACTTTCCCTTGCAATGTTTATTGTATTTGTCCTATTTATTTTAAGATTAAAGTGACAAAGAGTGAAGTCACAGGAAGCAACCAATTCCAAGCCTGAAAGGCCCAGAGCCGGAAAGGGGAACACACCCTGTCCACCCCCCCCCCCCCTTTTCAGTCTCTTTAGGTAACACCTACATGTAGTCCAAGGATACAAGTCCCATCAGCTCAATTTGTGTATCAGTGTAAAGCAGGTTTCACTATAATTGAAGCTAGCATTGTGCACTGTGCATTGTATTCTCACCTTGACATTCAACATGTTTGTTTCAGATTTGCAAGTCAACACCATATGATCCCTAATTAGCCAATCCGAGTTTATCCCATGCTGAAAAATATTCCCAACAAAAATTATTAAATTCAGGTCAAAGTGATTCACACTTCCTACATACAACCAAAGGAAAGATAAGGTCACACAATTTTAAGTTTCTCCACTTTCTCCTTTCAAAGGTTTTTTTTCCACTTAGTAATATTGTTCCTTTTCTTCTGGTAGGCTATTTTGATTTCCAGCTCCATTCTTAATTTAACTTTAATTGGACTTCTGCTGCAATGCAAAAATCAAGCCATGCTGAATTACGATTTTATGTTTTAAGTATCATTTCTGTTATGACTTAAGTATGCTTTTCCTAATTTCTGAGTTGTCCTTTTTCATTGTACATTTGCCTGTCTCGATTTCAATTTGTTATACTGTCTGATCCTATTTCAAAATCCAATGTTAATAAGGGAATAAATGTGTGCTCCGGAGGTTTTTATCACTCGTTAAATACCGCTTAGAGTCTGGGTGCTGATAATTACCCGAGCCGGAGGCGAGGGTAATTATCAGCACCCAGACTCTAAGCGGTACTAAACAGAGTGATATATACCGACCGAGCACATATTTATTCCCATTCATAAATACCTTATCTGTAAAAAAATATCAAATAATTCGTTCAAAAAATCCCGATTTTGTTCAACAAGTTCACTTCATGCTTTTTGAAACATCCCTCTAGCAAAATAATGGAGTGTTCAGCTGGCGAGTAAGATGTAAACAACCCTTTTATGGAGATTGACGCGCGCGTGGCATGTTCTGAGCGATGTCGCGCAGAACGCACCTGGCGCGTTGCATTTTGAATTTAGAACTATAAAATTCTGACTCCCTGGTAGTGTTGCGCATGCCTACGTGAGGATTGTGAACGTTCAACCAATGAAACAATAAGAGGCACTAGATTTTTAGGAGTCCACATTTTATGTGACACTGGAAAAGTGTTTAAGACCAGCTAGCCATGTCTTTATCATCCGTTTAAGACCGGCCACGTGACGGGCTCTCGACCAATAGGAATAGCTAAACTGTCTGAGGTATTTATGAATTTTTTTTTTAAATCACTATTTTATGTATTTTATTTATTTTATTACACTTCTCCACTGGCTGATATAAAAAAAATATTACAAGATCTACAGAATCACAGATTAAAAAACACAGGAAATATACAATTTCAATAAATTGATAAAAAAGAGTTTATGCCAAAATACGTATGGATTAAGCCAGTGAGTGGCAAGAAGGAACAGGTGACTAGCACCTCTACAGAGCCATCCTACCACAGGAAAACGAGATCCTACAAATTATTTGTGTTTCTTTTCTACAAAAAAAGAAAAAGAGGGGCGGAGCGTAGGATAGGTAGAACAAACAGCCAAAGGGGAAAACAAGGGAAAGAAGAAGGAAGAATTAAACAAAGGGGGAGGGGGGGGGACGGTAAGCGATACTAGAACTGAAAAGAGTTAATTTCAAGTGGAAGACTGGCGAGGGGAATAAAAGAAACCGGAATTGGACCTGCAGCCAGCACAACAACAGTGAGACGCCCAGGTACAAACATCATCGGTTTCAAAGCTGCAGTTGAATTTTGTTTTCTTAAACTCCAGAACTTGAGTCTTGAACGATGAAAATGACGAATCTGATCTGGCTGCAAGTGGGAGCTGGTTCCATGTACTAACTATGCCCTGAAAATAAAAAGCTTTGTGGGATTCAGAATTGCAGTGGGGAACGGATAATTTGAAAGGATCAGCTGATAGTCTTGTTGTAGGGCAGCCCTGGTTAGAGTTGAACTGAACAAAATTATCCAGAGATGTATCATAATGACCAGCCTTACATTAAAAACAGTACACAAGGTCCTGGATTTCTCTTCTGAATGACAAAGGCATCAACTCAAGGCTAAATAAGCGCAATTTGTAATCCATGTCAGGGTAGCGCGGCATAAATTTAGTTGCACGTCTCTGAGCACCTTCAAGTAACCCTATATTGAGTTTCGACGTACCACTCCATACTGGACTACAGTACTCCAAGTCACTTCTGACCAGTGATACATAAAGTATAATGCTCACTTTTCAAGCACATTATTTTGCAGACCTGTTTCCAAAGTCAATTTGTGACCACAACTCCCATTACTGGAAAATAAATTGTCAACTGTTCTCTCAGAGAAGACTACTTTAGAAATATTGCTGAAAAATAGGCTGTCAGGAGAGTGACACTGCCTTGGCCTGACAATTAACCACACAGATCACTCAGCACCTTGTTTGCCTTGCCTGGGGCTATTTCACACAGTTTGTTTTACATTATGCCCCAATCCACATAGCTTGATTTCCTCTACATGGCTGTGAGTAAATTGGATAACATTGGTCACTTCCTGTTGGGTATGACCTGCGCCAGTGACTGCCCAGAGCTTGTCAGACATGATTACGTCTCTTGAAATGGGAAATTCCTTTCTTTTTCTTCTTTTTCCAGGGTCCAATGTCATGGCACTGCTTACCAGTAGTGAATAATCTTCATTCCCTGTAGCATAAACTTTTGTGTGATGTTCAGCACATTCACATCTTTGTGTGGACTTGTGGATTGTGCTCGTGTGTAACTGTGTATACCCCATGCTAACAGGGTTAGCACAGAATTTATGACAGGATGATGATCATATGTGCAGCATTTTATTGTTAGTACAATCATGAATTTGGGACCTGAATTGCATACTAAAGTTGTTCACTGTACTGCATAATTGTGTACATCTGTAACCAGGAATTCTTTCTTGCTGCACCCTACTGAGATGCCATTTGTTGGGCAGTGTCTCTTTTTTGAGGAAAAGATTGACATGGGTGGCCTAGTTTATCTCTTTTTAAATAAAAATGAGAAAACTGACCAGTACAGGACCTGAATGTGCACATACATGTATGCTCTATCCACCCGAGTTATCTGACAAATTACAAAGTCACATTTTCTCAATTCAAACATTGTCTCTGGTGACCTGGCTAGCTTCTCACAGTGAACAAACCCTGCAGTGCTCTACCCAGCTGTTCTATCCAGTCATTTGCAGGCTGTTATTTTTATCGGTTCAAACACTGTCTCTTGTGAGCAAGCTTATCATGCTGTCAACGAAAGTGCTATCATGCTGTCAACGATGGTAATAGTTTGGCCTCTTGAACCCAAGACCCTGGTTCCCTGTGCAGGTGCTTTATCGTGCAGTTTCTCACTTTATTGGTGCAAATATTGTCTCTGGTGAGCCAACTCACCTGAAATGTAATGAGACTGCATGTACCTTATTATTTGTGTTAAATCAGTCAGTGCTCAAAAATTATATCTTACCAAAAAATTAACCTAAGTGTTAGGTATCCGGTCAGCTGGTAGCGTAACAACTAATTTCAGATTTTCCAATTGGCATCAGCAGGTGAGCGGAACTAAAGCACACAGCTGTCAGGATTAGTATACATCAGCTTTAAGTTGTGCGATACTGGATCAAAGAGATAGTGTTGTTAATTTATTTATGTACTTCACTGGATATGAACCCAAAAGCAGCCAAACTACAGAACTTTACCAAAATCCACCAAACATGGCACATCTGAACAAAACAACACAAAACAAAACTCATTCGTTCAGTTCAATATGTATAAAATGGGTATTTTAGTGTCATTTGTTTCTACTTGTTTAACCAAAGATTATCAAAACTTGCACTACAAAGTATCCCTCCCAACCCCCCCCCCCCCCCACCCCCAAAAAAGAAGAAATTCGTTTGAGGGATAGCATTATCATAGTAAAATTACTCACAGGAATACTTTTAAGATTATTTGGTATCTTTCATTAGCTAAAACCCATGTGAATAGAAAAACAGTTTTTCTTAAACCATTACATCTGTTATTTCTCTTTATTGACATCTGCTGTTTCTCCACGCAGACAGGCAGTTTCCTTGACATTTTAAAAATAAACTTTCCAAAAGTGTATCAGGATTAGGTGTAACCAATCATCAATCACTTTGTCTGAGCCAACAAGACTTCTTAGGGACAAGGACAAGGACAAGGTGTTGGAGGGCTTACATGCTTCACTTCAGCACCTATGATCAAGATCCAATCATCTGCCAAGAGTCACAAAAATCAATGCATCATTCAATAAAGCACCTGTGAGCTGCAGCTTGATTGCACCAACCTTTCCATCTTCCTCAGCAAGGTGAGGGGCAGATTTATTAACCAGCCAGTGAGTGTTCCAGACATCCCATGGCATTTCTCACACTTTAAATTTATTGAATCATTGGTAGCTAACAACTGTCAGACTATGCTTGTCAGACTTACATGTAGAAACTCAAATCTTCATGATTGGGTTCAGCTATACTTATAAGTGTCCTATTCTAATCAAACCAAACAGGCCTGTGAAATGAACTTCAAACTCAATTTTGTGAAGATGAACAAATGTACAAAAATGTATGTGCCTCTGAGTTAAGTTAACAGAACGGGAGACCACATCTGACTTTTTATTAAAAGTTGCCTCTTTCATTACTGATAAATGAATGTGCATTTTTAAAATAAGAGAGTGTTTGGGGAAGAGGGGTTACAGAATGGAATATGGTTTTGCCAAAATACTTCTAAAGATGTCCCGTGAACTCGGGAAAATGTGTCTTCATCAAGCATCCTATTATTTAAGCATGAAAACAGTTGTTAAAGTGTCAAGCAATGCAACAGGAGTGAATAGGAGAAGGTACTGGCTGCTCTTTCCTGCCAATTTAAGGGGAAAATGTCCAAAGGAGAGGCCTGTGAACATTCAGTTATTCAAATATTTAGGTCACCTCATAACCAGCGACCCCAAAATCGACACGATATGGCATAAAATTGTGAGCGCCTTGGAAAGCTGGTCCCGTCTAAAACACATAATTTTTGGACAAGGAAATCCCACTCTTTATCCGAGTCAGAATTCTCAAGTCAACAGTGTGAGCCAGGCTTACATATGCGATGCAGGTGACAGCTAAACAAAATTCCCAAATCGACTCAGATATGGACCAGGTTCCACCGCAAAATGATTAAAGGCGGCAATGCCTGACAAACCCACCATCTTAAAACCTAAAGAATGACGACATTGACAATGCTGACTGGGACCGGGCTTTCAAGTTCAGTAACGCAAAGATCCTCCAGCTTGCATGCACAAGTAGTATAGCATCGTTCTGCGAAAAGCAGCACTTTAAATTCATAGCGCAAAACCCACCACTGCAGAATGATGAACTACAAAAGATGCTATGCTTTGCTCAACCACATAGTGGTCAAGCGGCGCATTGGGCACGCCTCAGTAAAAATGCCCACATCGAACCAATGCAGCTACTCAAGATTATGTTTAACCACAAAGATTTCAACAAGTGGCTACTACAAAAGTATGACCATGGCTCCTCAAGCTTGTAAACCACGCACGCGGAAAACAAAGATAACGACGACATGAAAGCCCCGCTATCAGTGCAGGCAGCACAGAACACTGACTGAACTGGTACTCTAAACGAATAATGTTTTATCCCCCAAAATCCAAGTTTTGTGCTCAATATTAAATTGTCATATGAACAAATATGGGCTACTGCAGTTTTCCTTACTGTTACCAGATTAGAGTAGGAAAACATTTTACAAAATGTATGTAAATATTCAGTCCAATAAATAAGATGACTTAAAGGTGTGCATTACAGCGCCACACTGGACGTAATCACTGTGCTCCAGCGCAAGTGTTCCACAGACTGCAGTGTTGCAAAGTCCCTCGTTTTTGACCAGTGCTTTTTGTGTAAACAAGTGGCGCCAAAATATAGTCCTTTTCTCTATGTCTTAAATTGAAGGGAAAAAATTACTTTTTCCCAGCAAAGAGTTCATGTGATGTGTTCCATGAGGGCAATTTGTGCAAATTTGATGTTCTGGGTATTTCTGAGGTATATCTCGTCTGATAACAATCTGAAGTAGCAGTGATCATATTCGGTGTTCAAGTATGTGAGGTCAACGTGGTGGCTGCATTATACCTACTGGGGTCAGAAGCCAGGCTGGCAATATCTCACTGCAAACCCAAGCGATGGGTTGCATAATGCAAGAGAAAGGACAGGGCAGTGGTCGGACAAAAACAATCATTAAGTCATTATCTTTAAGGTTTATGCTGTTTAGTGAAACCTACTGGACAATAAACTAGCCCAGGGATCCTGGATCCAAGAAGTAACACGTTTAGAATACAGCATGCCATATGATATTTGAACCTACCGTAGTTGCAACTGGTGAGGGGGGAGTTGTACGACAGTCTGTGGCAGTGCTATTATTCTGGGGTCTGTCTAACCCTTGTTGGTAGTTGAGTCTGTCCTGAGACTGCATGTTAATGATCTCTGTGTGGAGAGTAGCATTAGGTATCTTGGATCTGAAAGGAAATGCATGAACCTTGAGGTTAGTTATAACGGTTAGCTGAAAGAGAGGCTGCACCAACTTCCCCGATGTAACCCTGAGTTTTAACAACATGACAACTCACCTCTTCCTGTGGATGAGGCAAGCAATACCAACAATGATGAGAAAGATGGGAACAAGTATTCCTACGGAGACAGCCGCTACCATAGCACCACTCATCCCACTGGCTGGAATGATGGGTTTGACTAACAAGCAACGCTCACCAGCATAGCCGGACAAACAGCTGAATACAAAAAAAAGTTGTCTATTAAGTGCTGAAACTGGACATGAGAGATTGTTGTGATAGGGTATCAAAGTACAAAAGTATCACCATTTTGAAGTTTTGAATAAACTTGAACAAAAGACAAACTATTTCAGGCACCAGATGTCCAAATTGGTTGGCAAGATTCCGTACATCAGTTGTGAATAAAATAGTGACAACATAAAACTGTACCTCCAAACTGGAAGTTGAGAACAAGTAAGTTCCCATAGCATTTCACAGAGTTGCAAACACTGGAAATAGAGCATGATTGGTAGAATCTAAGAATGCATTCCTGTCTGACTGCTAAAAATATGTTTTATGGTTCACACAACTTTTGTTCCCTATTATATCTGGGTCTCCACAAGGCATTAATTTTCAAAACACCCTTTCTTCTTTATAGTGCAGCGGTGATATTGTGATGCATAGTGAATCATGACCTATAATGTATTGCACTACATATTGTACATGTCTTATGAAAACATGAATTTGTTGCTTCCCCAGCTGGTACCTATCCCATATCAGTGGTTTGTTAGTGCTGGATCATATGCGACACCATTGGTCAGTCGACCAGCATTGGAAATTCATACAAAAATACCACTTTTCTTGAAAATGACAGCACACCAGGTGCCAAGATTTTACAGGATGCTTCAGACTGTCAATCACTGTCAAACAGTCCAGTAAGGTATTTCATAATACTTCGGTAGTTTTGTTTCTTTGATGTTTGCAAATGTTTTACATTAATTCCCTTTAAATTCTCTTGCATTAAATGTGAATTGGCCTTCAGTTCAAGGACCCACCTGCAGGACGGTTTCTTGATATTGATGAGCCAACGACAGACTCCGCCATTTACACAATAGTAGCGGTACTCCGGCCCGCATTGCCCAAAATGGGACATATCTGGGGTGGTGCGCTGCCCACCAATCACGTCATCTGGGTACGAGGTTACCGTGGCTGCACCTTCAACAGTTTCATCCCTGCCGCTACTGCTGCTTTGAGTCAGGCTATGGTGGGAGGATACTGGTATATGCTGGTCAGGCGGCAAGGTAGAGCGAGAGGCTGTGGTGCTCCTTGCAGTGGTCAAGGAAGGGTGGTGCCAATGTCGGGTGTTGCTAGCCATCATGGTGAAGGACTGGCTGGTTGTGGAGCTCTTGGTGGTTGTAGTCGGCAGAGGGTAGGTGATTTGGGGCGGGGCTATCAACTCTGATCTAGGCGTTGTTGGGGCTGTAAAATACACAAGGCCAAAAGAAAACCTAAGGTTAGTATAATACTGACACTATTGAGTTATTAGAGTGGGCTCTAATGCAAATTGGGGTCTATATAATACATTATGAGAAAGTATGCACTTGTGTATGACACCAATGTTATCTACAAAATAGCCTGACATTTGCAGTAGGGCTGCCAACCCTGGTTATGTCATTGCAAAAGGTGAGTGCACAATACACAAGAACACTGCTGAATGGAACACTGCTTACCAATCATTCAGGAACACAGCACGAACAGTAGACAGACCTACCAAGTCACACGCATTTGGTGTGTGTCACACGCTTAAGAGTCAATTCACACGCTCACATGCCGGACAATCGTAACTGACACGCCTAATGCCAATTGTTCTGAACACATATTTTTAGGTTTTCGGGACAAGAATATAGAACAATGTTTCGTGGTGGGGCTAAGCACTTTTGCAACTTCAGTTCTTTGCGAAGATCATGATTATATATCGCCACGCAGCGTAGAGACACCTCATCATCCCCAGGGCCAGCCAATGGCCTTGTAACAAGATTATGTTCAGTGCTGCGCCCCTGCAGTAAACTCCCAGGTGTACAGTAGGGTTGCATCAAGCGTGTGTGCCAACAATGTGTTGTGCAATACTTCCTGCTGATATTGTTGATGTCCTCTATTGTGGTGCGGCCCCTACCTTGATTTGTTCACCTCTAGTGCCTTGCTGTAGAGCAAAATATGCACCTGTAATTTCACAGGCAAGTGAAATTTCATCATGGCATTTTTCCCCAAAAAGAACATAAGTTACTGTCAAACTTGTATTTAGGTAAGGTCCAACAGAGAGGAGATGATAATGCATGGGCATCAATCCGTGGGTGAAGGGGGGGGGGCATCGCCCCTTTTTTAAGTTGGGTGATATCGTCTCCGAATAAAATTGTTGCCTACATTTGATTCTTTGGCTGCTCAGAATAGCTGATTCAACTATGACTTCAAACTCAAAAATGATGTTTAAATGATGATCTTTTGCTTTAAAAAAAAATTGTTAGGGTGGTCAGAAATTGCCTCAAATCGCACCACAGAGCGTCCAGCAGGCCCAGAACCCCACACCGTTAGGGATTCACGCTCGCATTAGTTCTGATCAAGGCATTCCCCCCCCCCCCCACCCCCCTCCACGTTTGAGAAGCGAGTGATATATCAAAATTTGTCAAACCTTAAAGAAATCTTTGAACGCTAACTTGGGATTTTCTAAAAGATTTTCAAGTGGGCCACATTATTCTTGGCTGATTTTGTGCCCAATGTCCGGATGCCACCATTTTGCATTTCGGCTTTGCCACTCGCCGCTGTCACTCACCAAGCTTTTGTGTGATCTTGGCATCTCTGACAGTAGATGGTGCTTTTTTACCACTTTTGAAAGCTCCAGTGTGGAGACACACCATGTACGCAGACAGATTCACAGGCATACGGCGTAAAGTATACAATCTCAGAGTGTGCAGGGTAGGTTGGGGATGATTCCAGGGGAAAAGAGAAGGGGAAGAAGAAACTACATATCTCCCCCAACCACCAATGAAATTAAAGCCTATCAGTTTGTTGAATAAATTTCTAAAAGTATAATTATCACCTAAATTGATGATTTAGTGCAGTTTCAAAAACTGCATTGTTCTTCTGAAACACTTCTAAAAAAATTTATTTTTATATCTCTAAAACGCACCCACAAAACAAGTCTACCATTATTTCAGCACTTGTTGATATGTCCAGGGACAGCAGAATACAAACTTACAGTCAGTGATTGGGCAGATTGTATGGTAAGTTCAATTAAAGTGCATATTTGCTACAGCATTTTTGTGTGTGGTGATGTGAGTAATTAAGGGGCAATGAGTCGATAAACACAGGATGAACAGGATCAACCTGATGCCCACTCATAAATGTCTGCCTTTAATTTCCCAACTCCAGTGAGCTACTGGCTCACTAGACAAACATGCCTGGACCCATGTCTTTGAGGAAAGCCATTAACAGTGTAGAACATTGATTGGGTTAAAAAAATGTATACACCTATCGGCTCAAGCATATAAATGTGTTAACATTTGTATGGTGCATGCACATTTTGTAAAATTCAATTAAGATTTCCATCCTTGGAAGGACCCATTTCAAGGTCAAATTACTTTATGGTTGAATAAAGGAATTTACTGGAGCAGGGCTTGAACTTGCCACCTTTAGAACACCATGGCCATACATGTACTGCCGCTCTACTAACTGAGCTATATGTTGGTGATCTAACAATTTCGTTGATGTGTTTGTTCAAGGGCACTAATCAAAGTCTTGGAACAATATATCATATGTCATATGCTAACAAAATAAGCAATGCTACAAACCTGAAAAATAGACAGTGGACATCACTCAGAGAGGATACTGTTTTTATGACAAATCATCGAATAAACTACAGGTCTAATTAACCAAAGTCCACAATTTTACAACAGGAAATTGGAATGCTATATTGCTCACCTTCCTAAGCCTTTAATGGAATTAGGGTTAATTAGAGCTCACCGCAGATTTCCCACCCATCATGCACCTTTGATTCCTAAGTCTTGCTAGACCAAGTCGTAGCACCAATGATTGGATTGTAACTTTATTTGTCAGTGTTGTCTGGCACTTAATAACACATTTTATGTTGGCACCAGTTAGGGATAGCATTCTGGTTTTTGTTTCCAAGAAAGGGGAGAGAAACTAACTCTTCTTGGACAATCGTAATATCAACAGCCACTGGTCAAAGACGCTTGTTGAGTTGAAAGTACATCCAATTAATTGTAGGACCTACCTGAAGAAATTAGAAGATTAGCCCTGTCCTTACCATGGGCGACACGGAACTACCCCCTGCTGCTTACCATAGGCGACTTTAGTCGATTAGGAAGCTACACACAGAACACACTCAACACAGATATATTCACTGCTTTTCAGCAAGCTGGCATGTTGGTATGTTTTGCCACCCATACATCAACCATATACCAGCCGAAAGAGTGTTTTTGTATTGTTCTAATGAGGTAGTTTATTTCTAGCGTTGCCAAATGTTGCGAAAATTTAAGAAAAGAGCTTCAGAAGTATTCACGCACAATTTGAGGTATGGAGTGCCATTTGGTCATGTGGTGAAATGGCTTGCAGTTTGATAAATGGGACCAGATCAACAAACAGGCATAACATTCTTATTTTTATACATAGGGCCTTGATTTTTACACCACATAAATGAGTAAAGTTCACACATACTGAAATTTGTATCCTTGTGGAGTCATTTTTTTGTTCTCCTGTACTAACATTTTAGAATGTGAAAATCTAGTTTCTATTTTAACCAGAATTAATTTCCTGGGCTGAAATTTTGACTTAATATCCCTTACATAAAATACTTCAATTTGCGACAGATCAACACACCTTGGAAATTCCTAGTTTTTGAGTAAAATCCATATATCTATTTCGTGATAACCTTGTGGAGACAGATTCATCTATAGAAATTGTCCTGTGGAGACGTATACATTGTACAATCTTTTGTTCCCTAATACACCCATGTCTCCACAGGGTACCGTGTTTCAGATCAAGGAACAAAGTTTAAACACATCACTTTTGATTTTAATCACTACTTGGCAGTTAAAATCCGGGTTGAAAAAAAGAGTTTTCAAGTTACAGACTTGTATTTGAGTCACCAAACATCGAGTCCGAGTCCAAGTCACCTCTCCCGAGTCCGAGTCCGAGTCGTGCAGGTCAAGTCCGAGTCCGAGTCACCAGTCAAAACAGTCGAGTCCGAGTTATGAGTCACCTTTACTAATATACAGTTGACTCTCGTTAATACAAACTCTGTTAAAACAAATTCTGGTTATAGCAAACATAAAGCCTTGGTCCCAACTGTGCATTTATGTGCACAATGGGACAGGCACTCCTCTAGTGATATAACAAACTTTTTGGCTAGGTCCGGCTGAGTTTTCGACTGAATATTGGATGTAAATTTTGAGGTACATGTACTGCTAAAACCTCACAGTGTGAATGTTTCCATTTTTCACTGCTTTGAACTGAAAATACATGTATAACCAGGTTCTGGAAAGGATAATCTGGCACCGAACACTATCAAATTTGTTTACAATTTATCAAGAATGGACGCTGCATTATATATTTTGATAGTTGATTTCCCAAATCAATATATATCGGAAACAAGCCAGCAGCTGTGTACAGATGTGTTTCCTCTGCACAGCACTGACTGTATCGCTTGCTCATGAGAGGATCGTCTTCAAAATAATTTCTAATTTGTTTTGTGGTCATTTTGGTCAAGTCCCGAGTCACGCAGGTCGAGTCCGAGTTCAAGTCCGAGTCTGCAGGGTCATTCGTCATCGTGACCCGAGTCCGAGTCCGAGTCCGAGTCCGAGTCCGAGTCATGGAAAATGGGACTCAAGTCAGACTCAAGTCCGAGTCCGAGTCAAGAGTCATACAAGTCTTGACAGACTTGCAATCCAATTTTCATGCTCTAGTGATCTCCGCATGATTGAGCAAACAATTTGGTCCTGGAGAGAGCCAAGTGAATATAACAATGCGGAAAGGAAAGGGTTAACTCTTCATCAATTAAATTCTTGTAGACACTGTTTATCGTGAGGAACCTGGGCTAAGGACTTTTTCCGTAAGGGTTAATTGTTTTCATTGAATACTAGCTACAATAAAGACAAGCAGTGTACCCATAGGTCAATGTTCTGCAAATCAAATACGTTGGATTTAATAACTTATAACTTAAGTTAATTTTTTTTAGGTAGTCACATTTGGACAATCATTTTTTTTTTGTTACAGAGTATTTAACAATATCTGAAAACATGACGCAAAGGAAGAAGTGTTCACACTCTCTCATCATTAAGTTACACAGTGCCCTGTTTTGTTTATGCAAGGGAACATAACCATTCTTCATACCATATTCATCACTAAATATATACAAAACCTCAACAATAGGAAGACATTATGAAAAGTTAACTATAAAATGAAACAAATCGTTTGAAGAAATCCTCACCTATGCAGGTATATCCATTGCCATTAAATCCCGGCTTGCACCGACAGTAGAAGCTCGGGTCTGTGTCCTCACAGAATGCGTTGACGCTACAGTTGTGCTTGCCAGTGTAACATTCATCTGAAAGTTATTTTGAGCAGAGGGGAGGAGAGGAGGGACAAAAAGGACTGTGTAAGTTGGATGGGAAGAAATGACGATGACTTAGCAGGGAGGAGGTGACACATGGGCATTAGCCAATGGCTGCCGGGGGATGAAGTGCAAAATCCAACCTATGCATCACCACAACAAAAATTGACCATGCTTCCTGAACGACATGTAAATACCCAGCTGTGTTTAAACTGAGTGTCAAGAGGAGGCGAAGAATCTCATAAAGTTATTTTTTTTCAATATGTACAAAGTCAGGATTGTATTATAAATATACACTGTTTGAGACTCATAGGTAAAAACTCCTTTGATGTTCTGTGAAAATAATGTGTGCAGAACAGGGTTTTGGTGGGAAAGTTGTAAGGAAAGATTATTGACAGCTGATTAAGATGTATTGACAGCTGATTAAGATGTTTAATCAGTGGCAATAAGACTTACATAAGGCCAAAAAAATAAAGTCTCCAGTTTCTGGTATGCGCGCGCGTCACCGTAGCCATGCGCGTCGGCAAAATGAAAAAGTTTTTTTTTCAATACAAGATGATGTCTCAAAACCGCCAAACTCACTGGTTTGACTGGAATCCTGCTGCTGCACAATTTTAACGGTTTTTAGATGGGGTTATGATCGAGAATAAGCTTTATGTGGCCTCTCTGGACTCCCATATATTTGCACTAAGTTTAGTCGGGCACCATTTGCAGTCATCAGCCGACATTTGAAGCCAAAAAAAAAAAAAAAAACAGGTAAAAAAAAAAAAAAAGCCGCGTCGCCGCACCACTTTTGGGGCAAGCTCCATACCAGAAACCGGAGACTTTTTTTTTTGGCCTAATAGACCTGAAGTTCTTGCAAATTTTTAAAAAAAATTTGGGGGGGAGGGGAGGGGAGAGGGTACCTTAGCTGTTGCTGAAACAGAACCCAATATTGGCAACACCCAAAAGAAAGGTATCTTGTTTAAAAGTTCACCGCTCAAAAAAAAAATCCACCAGCAACTTTACCCCAACGGATATTGTTATGTGCAGCAGAGATCAGCCAAACAATTTTGTGTCTGTGTTCTGTTGTTAAATGTTTGATTTGTAAAAAGTGAAACTTACACCGACTTCACTATGTCCGTATTCAACATTGAGTTAAACTGTCTGGCATATTGCATGGATTTCAGGGTCTTAAAAAGACTTTGTTACCTTACTTGTATTACAAATTGACAACAACCACAATCTATCGTTGGTGAAGATCATGGCCAACAACTCTGGTATGGCCCTTCCAAATTCCCCCAACAAATTCTCAGTTATTTAAAAATAACATAACTGCTGCCAAAAGTGGATTAGGCCAAAAAAAAAATTAGTCGGTCTCTGGTCAGCGCGCGCGTCGATTTTAATCATGCGCGACGATCTTTTTTTTTCCAAAATGTTCCGCAGTAGCTCCAACAGCGCCCTCTATTTCCGCACCTCCTCAATTTTTTTTACCAAAGAGCACCAAGGAATGGGAAACTGCAATATTCATGGCTAATTCATACATATATTTACTTAGATGCATTTGCCATTTACAACTGCACACACATTGTCTTGTTATTATAGTCTCGTATATATTTAATATTTATGGCATAAAACTGGCCGAGAAAAGGACGCTTTTTATTTTATGATGACCACTTGACACGTCATAACTTGCGACATGTTTTAAGCCATTGTCAAGAAACTTACGACACGTTCAACACATCGCAACTTTCCTGAAATGTAATCGTACAACACATCGTGATTGCGACGCGGCAGCACTTCGTGAAATCGGGTGCAGGAATACTGTTTTGATAATCCACTGGCTATTGGTAAAATCTCCTCAAACAGATAGTGTCACATCCTTGTGCATGTGTGGTTTGTTGACAATTTTGTTAACTTGATTTCAGTCCGTTTCTTTCAGCTTCAAGGCATGGTCATATCAAAGAAACAAGCAATTGATAATCCCACAAAAATGTTCAAAAATAACATCATCATCATCAACAACAGCAACAACAACAATGTGCGAAAATGCTAACTTGAGCACAAGTAATCCAAAATGCCTTTGTAGCTCTATGGTTCAAAGCCTCCATGTAATTCCTTAACTGAAAGGCAAAACAAAATCCAAATAAATTCCACCAACATTCTGCCATTCAATCTATTTCTGTAGCTGGGCATAAGGAAGAAACGTTCATGGTTGGCAATCAAGAAGTCCCCACCAGGGCCAAGTCACAAAACACTTGAAGGAAATGAAAGGCAGCAGTCCCTGATGAGATAAACATGAAGTGGTGAAAACGGGAAGGGGATGGGTAGATGACACATTTCTGCGACTGCTTGATCACGATATGGTTAGGTCACACGACACCTGTCTGGCTACATGCTACATTCGATTTGAATTGATGAGCGAGTCTTGAAACTACCTAATGACAGTATGTGCAGTACCATCCTATGCAGCAATGGTGGTAGAATATGGTGGGGTGCACTACATGCATCTCTCAATACAACAACAAAAACAGACACCCACAAAAAAAAAAAAAATTAAAAGACAATAATTTTTAAACATTAATTATTGAGGTGTGTATAGATTTTGACTGATGGTACTAATCTCCTACCATGAAATAGCGCTTGCCATAAGCTACTTTTGTAGAGTTGACAAAAATTAGAAGGAAGTTAGAGTAGGTACACTCATACAATTATGTACACATACAAGTTTCTAGTTTGAAAATTGCTAATTAGAGTCTGAAAGTTTCCAGTTTCCTCCCGTTTCAAATTCCATGGGCTGCTTAATTAGGTTCCCTGTTCCCCCAAAAGAAAATGTCCGCTACTGCAATGACTGAAGATCTCTTACGACCAAAAAGTCATGGCAAGGAGACAGCTGTCTTTGCACTGTGTCCAGTAATTTAGTAGATTACCTTTTAAGCTATGTCCAGTCTCAAGACCTTGACAGTATGTTTACCTTTGCTTTTTTTTACTTCTGAGAGAAAAGTACTTTGAACTTCACTCCAAGGAGGACCCCCCACTGAGATTACTGAGTCTTGCTGAGCGGAGTTCCCACTGTTTTGCACACTGACTCATTGGTTAACCTGTCATCCTGCTGTAGCAGCCATAGCTGTGGATTACGAGGGAGTCTAGCGCAGTTGGAATATATACTGAACTGGCTTATAGTGCTAAAACTTTCAGCAAAAAAATTCAAATTGAACTTCTGTCGTTGTGAAAACATAGTATTCATGAGTCCTAGGTCTAAAAAATATGGTTTATTTTAAAAACAAGAAATGCTAATGAGCCATCAGTATGTGTGAACATTTTTTTGTACCTATTCTTGAAGCATTAAGAGTAACTTTTGAGCAAAAAACTTCCCAAAACAGTTTTTCAACATCACTCCAAGTGTGTTTCTTTACTTATGCCAAAATTGACCATTTCTTGATAACCAATAAAACATGGGGGCAAATTTATAGAACACTTTGTCAAGCAAGAGCAGCTTTGAGCTAACATGCCATGCAGTTTATGAACTCCAAGTATGAACAGTCAATAGTGCTTCATGACCACTGATGAGAGGACCATGTGTAAAATATGGACACACACTGCCTGAACACAATACATGTAGTGCACAAAGTACGCAAGATTTGATTTCTTTTATTCTGAATGCACACAAACCGGAAGCATTTGAGTGTCAGGCATGTATGTACCCCTCACCATTGAGTGAGTACTTGTACACATGTTACTGGTTCTTGTGTGATATGTCTGTCAAAGAGAGTCCTATCTTGGCAGGTAGTTGATAAATATGGTTTTTTTTTAATATTTTTAAAACGAGGCTTTACCTTGCTAGCTCCCTGGGGTAGGGGACTTTGACGCCTGTAGACTGCTTCGCAGGCAAGAGACAGCTTTGCAGTCTGCATGCTGCGCAGGCCATCAATTCATGAACACACACACACACATACTTATTCTGCAGTTGTGGGGACCATACACCTTATGAGCGATGGTTATTTTAGGAACCAAAAATGCTGTTGTGGCAACAGAAAGTCCCCACAACTGGATCCTAATTTCCCTAACAAAAGAAAACTTCCCCACAACGTGGTGCCAGCTAGAGTGCACATACACATACAGCTTTTGCACTTTAAAGTATAGTGATGATATAGATCTTCCCCTTAACAATGACAATTTAGTTTGTGACATCATAATTATCATCATAATGCGAGAGGTTGTCCTCAACCGACGCCTTCTCGGGAGACTCTGATGGTCGCATTCCATGCATCCCGGCCCAGCATCAGCGTCTTCAGCTCAGCGGTATCTTGTTGTGCTGTGTCCCTCTTCAACTGGTCGGCGAAAGAGAGTCTCCTCCTGCCCCTGCTCCTAGCTCCATCGACAGGTTCCCACAGTACTAGTGGGTTCCCAGCTAGCTCTGGAGGATGCACACAGTGGCCTGCCAGCCTCAACCCTCCCTCCCTCCAGCGTGTCGTAGAGCTGGATGTTGGGCACATGGTCTTCCCAACTGACGTTGAGTGCCATCCGTAGCATACACTTGTAGACGCCGTCTAGCACTCTCTCGTGCTTGGCTGTCATCGTCCACGTCTCAGCTCCATACAGAAGTACAGACTCAACTGTAGCCACGAACAGCCTTCTCTTGATGTCGTCGGTGAGACCAGCTCTCCATACTCGATAGGCACACAAACAATTGACTTTTGTTTGCAAAATTGTGCTTTTTTAAGTTTGTGATGATAAAAGGTGTAGGCAGAGAAATTGCCTGTTTTTGGTTATGCATTTATTGAACTCATACCCGTTTACAAATCATCACTCCCCCATCCAAAAATAAAATCCCTTTTAGAGGCAAAATTAGTCTGATTTTTTAAAGATTAGATCTTTAATGCAACAAACATTGACTAATTTTGCTTTTTTGGGGGGAAAAAAATCTAATCATCTTTTCACTCAGTCACAGCCACCAAAAGTATACAGGGGCATTTCTTCTTCTGGAATTGATTGTGATGTATGTTTGTGTGCCTAGCACAGCTTTCAGTGTACAAATATGTCATTTTACATAGTGTATTAAGCACATTTCCTCAATTTGTAGTTTCCACCATGCAAACCTTCAATGGCATTCTTCGAAAATCAGTTAGCACTAAGTAAACAGTGGAGCTAACAGGTTGTTTTCCCATAGAATTGCTAATTTGACAACGAAAAGACAACAAGCATAAAACTATTTAACACAACCAGATATCCTGTTGAAAAGAAAAAAAGGTGATTAAGAGGCGAAAAAAATGCAGAGGGGCACACCCAAAAAAGACAAGACACAACCTTCCAACATTCAAGACAGGTAAGCATTTACAGGAGAAAACAAACAGGCACACTTCAAACAACAAAATCATACTTAAAAATGAATAATGTGTAAAGCAATTCCAGACCCATTTTCAACATTGGCTTACGGCCTTTTGACACTATAGGCCTTTTGACACTAGACAAAATCTCAGGGGTGGCCCCAGAGCGATGCAGGGGTGAAAATAATTAGCCATGTTTCACACTTGAAATTCTCACCCCACGCCACCCCCGAGCCACCCTTGAGAGTGCTCATTCACCGGGGCGAGTTCAACCCTGCTTGGGACCAGAGTTGAACATTTTATCCCCGGGGCGAGACACTTTCCCCAGGGCGAAAACTGTAGTGTGAAATGAGCGGGGGGTGAGTTTGCCCCGGGGCTAGCATCAGAGGGTTAAAATAGACTCTGAAGTTTGATGTAATTGCAACAATTCATCTGAAAATACAATACATTGCGAACAACGTGCACTTTTTTGGTGGCTTTTCGACCGAAGCAAATCCAACCATCCAACCAACAGCTCGATCATTCGTAATACTGGACCACCCCGGGGATGGGTGTTCTAATGGGAAAAGGCCTTAACATGTGTGTATCTGCCCCCTTCCCCTACCTAACCCTGCTCCCCACTTCTTTCTTTTTTAACTCACCAAGGTTACAAGTAGCACCATCATTTCGTAACCTGTGCCCGTTATTGCATGCACAGACGACCTGATTGATGTGTGCCTGAATGCAGATCTGCTCGCACCCTCCGTTGAACACTGAGCAAGGATTGATACCTGTGGAATGAGTAATGGAACAGCTCTGAAAAGAATATTACACTAAATCATATTGTGTAAGAGTGTTGATGTCTTTGAATTACAATGTATGTGAAAACACTTGGGATATATATTGGCTTAATATTTTTCTGTTAAAGTGCACTTGTTTCGCTGATGTAATCATGAATGATTTTGTGATAGAATATTGCATTAAGCACTGTATGCGCATTGCTTACCAAGCGGCAATGAAAACAAATTGCACTATATTAATTGGCATGAACATGAACCAACAACCTCGCATTAAATGCATATGCCTTAACTTGCCATGGTCAATCTGTTTGCCTTTGATAACAGTAGGTGCCACAATCAATAACTTTTAATGAAATACCTAACAGCAAAGAGGGTCTGCAAAATTTTAAAGATGCGTTTTTCAATGTCCTATACCTAGAGAACTACGATTCCGATCCGGTTGAACCTTTGTATGCAAGTAAATCAGATTCATAGGCTGTTATAGGTAAAAATTGAAGTGACTTCACGGTGATGTCATACAAGATCAACCCAAATATATATTATTTTTAGTCTAAATCTAGCTAAATACAAGTCCGATTAGGTTGAAACTTTACACATTATAGGCTACTGTATGCAAAAATGGAAGTGAAGTCTTTATGATGTCCTTAAGTTTCATGTTACATCAACTTGAAGGTGATAAGTTGTAGTGCAAGACAACTGCAATAGTAAGCAAGAGGTCACGGGTTTGAGACTCACCTAAGCCAGCTCAAACATTTTTCACACAAGCCCTCGGACAACACTGAATATACAGCGTTTATAAAATTAATTCATGGAGGACAAAACCTACTACGATGTATTGAATTAACATCTCCCCAACTATCGTATGCTTGCAGCAGGGTGACCGTAAGGTCCTGGCTAAATTCTGCTAAATGCACTCCAAAAATCTGTCAGATTTATCAAAAATCTTGCCTTAATTAAGGTTCAAATTACATTATAAACAATCTATAGCCAGATAAAGATGTTATGAAATTGCGTACATTTCAGGCAAAATGCGGTTGCGTCACGACGAAGTCCAGAATCTCAGCACCTAGACCAGCCAACCTGTCCCATTATGCAAGGGTTTGTTTGAAAAAGTTCGAAGCTTTTTTAAACAAATGTACCTTTTTTTTCTTCAAATTTACTATGTTTTTCTGTCAAACAACCATTTTTGCAGAATTCTGCCAGAAATCTGCCCAAAAAATCCATTCTGTCAAATTTTCTATCCAACTTGTTTTTTTAACAAAAATTCGGTCAATGTTAGCCGAAAATCGGCTAAAACGGCCACCCTTGCTTGCAGGCCTATATATTTACTCACTTGAAATAACCCTCCGGCTAGGGTGTACCACCTGCACCCCTGTAGGTCTCTGCATGCTGCCTCTCAGCCTGACCCGCCCACCGCCCGTTGACTTGTCAACCCTGACAATCATGTCCTCCTCCCACTCCGTGAACCAGACATAATCCTGAAACTCTGAGATGCCAAAGGGCTGGCCCAACTGATTGCCTGTGATAATGCTGCGCTCTGTCCCATCCAGGTTGGATATCTCAATCACCTAATACATTTGCAAATTGATTACCCAAAGATGTCATCAAGTGTACATAAAGAGCCATATTAAATTACTAGAGGGCTGACTTGATGTACAAAGTTATGCCTGCTAGGCATATCCATGTTTATGCACAAACCTATGGAAAACTCAAAATTGTGTACGGCTTTTGTACGGCTATTTGCGTTTCTATTCTATACAAGTGCGTTATCCGAGCCAATACGCCCAAAACTGAAACGCACAATCAGTAAATGAGTGTTTCGATCATTTTGCTCTGCACAAACAATGCAAACGTGTTGGCATATCCTCTGCAGTTAATTTTTGTCGTGACGTTTTTTTTAACAGTCACGACGCGCTAAAGTTGTTTGGTTATGTTGTTCTTGCTCTTTGCATTTAGAGTACACTTTCAAATTCACTCCATCTAATTTCATCATGTTCTACAAACACCCACATGAATTCAAAATGTCTGCGCACAGGACGGCTTCAAAGTATCTCTGCCCATAAGAATGAGTTAGCGCTCTACATACAGCTCTATGATCAGGAGTCATTCAGTCTCAAGTCAACATGACAAGCTATGTACGCAAGACTTGACTTGTCCATGATGTGTAATAGAGTTGCAACCACATGTAGAACCCCCCCCCCCCCCTCCTACGTCTCTTTCTAGTTCAACTGCCATTTTGGTCAAGATGAGCAATAAGGTGAACTGACCCCAAGCCCAATTTCATTGATTCAAGTGATATCAATGCTCAACATTTTCACAATTTAAAGAAACAGTCATATTCAGTTCACTAGAACATGAGGTAGAGAAAAAAACACAAGATAAAAGTAGATTGAACACTACCCATTACAAGATTGCTAATTAAATTCAATTGATACTATGCTTTTATTCCAATCGGATGGCAAGATGTTAGTGCCGCATGAACAATTATTTCAGATAATATACAGGCAATACAACAACTTTTCTGAGGGAAATATGCAACATTTAGACGTCACTAGGCAGAGCAAAAATATGGTAAAATTTACTGGGTCGATGAGACGTAATCACACACCTACAAAATTCCGCAAGTGTGTATTGCTAATATTTGACCTGTAATCAAATAAGATGAATATTGTACTGTGTTGCAACTGTATGTAGCGGTATCTCTGTCCACTGATGCTGAAGGACCATAAATTATGTTCCGACAGTTTAAGGGATCCAAAAACTAATTCAAACCATCCCCTCCCCTCAGAAGTTATTCCCAGATTATAACTTTTTTTATACCAAAGTTACCGAAATCTTCACAATAATATTGATACTGCTCATCCAACACCACTTTTTCGTTAATTCAACAGAACATAATAAGAGGGATATACACACATAATTATGTAAATGTGTTTGAACAGCATCCAAAAAGTCAGTAGGTCTTCAGCCCCCTTGCCCCCCCCCCCCCAACCCCCAAGCTGCTGGTCCCCCAACGTTGACGAGAAATCACTGCTGTTGTCTGAGAAAGTGATTTGAGAAACCCCTGGTGAATCCTCTCTGAACCCTTATGGAGCCTGAGCCTGAGCCAACTCCATTGAACGCGCGATTTCAGCAAGGGCGGATCCAGGGGGGGGGGGCCAAAGGGGGCCATGGCCCCCCCCAAAACAAAATCAATTTTTTTTTTTTTATGTGACATCGCAATAACGGCAGGCACTGAGTACACCACCATCTTTTCCTTAAAACAAACATTGGTTAAAGTGGTCAGAAATTGCCTCAGATCGCACCACAGAGCATCTAAAATCGAAAAAAAATTCGGGGCCCTTAAGCGGGCCCCGAACCCCACGCCGTAATTTTTTTGGCCCACTTTTTTGGGGGACCAAAATTTTTTTTGGCCCCCCCAAAATTGTGTTCTGGATCCGCCCTTGCATTTCAGCAGAAAATATATTGCTTAGCAATGTTTTTCTAGTCTGACAAAGGAATGCTGGGAACCAGTTACAAGCAAGCTACCTCACATTACATTTTGACTGTTAAACTGTTAACAAAGCAAAACTTTTGGACTAAGCTAACTGTATACTACTAAGAAAACTTTCATGTGCTTTAGTTATAGCAGTCCCATGAAACTGCCCTACAACAGACTTACTTTTCTGGCACTGTCAATCCACAAGAGTTTTTGGTTCTTATAGTCGATAGTGATGCCAGTGGGCATGGTTAGGTTACTGGTTGCTATGGTAGCTCGATGCCTCCCATCATGGCGAATGGCCTCTATTTTGGCTGGGTTTCCAACATCAGTCCAATATATCAGACTGAGAAAAGCAACAACAATGATGGAAAATGCAGTAATACTTAGCAGCAGTGTTGTTTGATTTGTAAAGACAAGATATTGCATCACCTATAATAAATTCCTGTTTTTTGATGTTGCTGAGACAACATCAAAATCCTCCGGTGTGTGCTAATCCATATTCTTTGTTCCACATGCTGTTCCCCATGTCAACAGCACTGCTACAGCAGATGTTAATTCCCATACATATCATACGGTAACATTTACCTACGAACTCCTTGCACTAAAAAAATACCCAATTAATGACAGAAGGAGAGTCATCCACATTCTAGGCTGCTGTCTGCTGCTGTCTGCTCCTAGGCTGCTGCCTTTTCAGATACCCTCTACACAGCACAGTTGTTCACAAAGAGACAAACATTGTGTGGTGAGGGATAGGAGATCCCATGTCCAAACTGTTACAATTGTGTGTAAGAAATAGATGTGTAAAAAAAAAAGTAATCATTACAAACACGTGTGAAAGTGTACTTACTTTAAAGAAGGATGAACAGCTATCCCACTTGGAATTTGAAGTCCAGTATCTACAATGACTTCAGGAATGCAGGCATGAATGCTGCATGAGGCAATGTGGCCTTCTCTGTAAAGGCAAACAATCAGATTTAATGAGTAAGAAGAGTTATGTATTTATAAAAATTAATTTAACAATGGTGGTATCCAAGGTACTAAATCATCATTAGTCTTGCTCATTATTCAATAAAGCTCCCCGCAGACAACCTCACCCTGCCAATTAAAAAACAACTAGGTACCAATTTACTCCTTTGTTGAGAAAAAAAGAATATCAAATTGTACAGCACATGTTAACCCCTAGCCGCCAGGTTTTCACGTCTCACTGTGCAGGCTTATACACATCACTGCATAGCAGCCTCTGCGCAGTAGCGGCACTGAACAGTAGCAGCTGCCTAGCACCTGCCTAACATCTGCCCACAGACGGCATACAACGGCATACAATAGCACACCTGAGTGCGGTTATAGCCGTCAGTCGGTGAGGAGGGGTTAACAACATCCAGTTAAACCCCACAAGCTGAACTGAACCCACAATCTACAGAATTACCCAGTTTGACACAATAACCATTCAATTTGATACACTAGACCCAAATCTTTAGACTTTTTTTTAATGCTCTACTTTGTATACAGGCTATATTATCATCTTCATTTTATGGTAGATTGCAAATAAAGACCTGCACTATCTGCTGCATTTTCCCCTAGGTAAATATCGCAGCACGTATACCAAACTGCTTTGTATTTCACAGTATTTTCCTAGATTTGAAAACAGAAATACTTCTCTTCAAACATGGTCTTACTCTGAATCTGTCCAATACAGTCTTCCCCGCAACCAATCTAGGGCTATTCCGTTAACCGTACCCAGCCCCTCACAGACGACCCCTCTATTCTGACCATCCATTCCTACATGCTCAATTGTCTTCTTTCCCGCATCTGCAAAATAGACCATCTTGTCGGCGGGATCATAGTCCAGGTCGACAAGATTTTCCATATTTCCGAAGGCCACCTGCATGTAGTCTGTTCCGTCAAAATTGATGCGCTGGATGTCGTGTCGGTTTGTGAAGACCAGGAAGGGTTGTGGAGCCGGGGGAGGCTGGCCCTCTCCGATGTCGATGGGGCAGTCATCATGGGTTGTGCAATTCACCCGAGCTGTGTTGAGGAGGGCAAAAGGCCATATATATTTCAAGGGAAAAAGTTGGCATGTGGTACTTTGGTTTGATTCAACCCAAACACGAATTTGAAGTAATAACCAGATGTGTGTTCTGAACAAGACTGGGTATGCACTTTGTTTGTATTATACTAATTATACTAATAATAATTGCGCCACTTCGCTCTTGTGCCACTTCGCCCATTTGCCGCTTGGCCCAAGCGCCACCTCGTCCATGCGCCACTTCGCCCACTTGCCACTTCAGCCATGCCCAGTTATTATAGAAACATGTGAATTTCATCCTACTTTGCCTCTTAGGCAATTATCGAATGCAGCTTATGTTTTGTTAACTTCACAATACAAAGATGTGGAAAGAAACATTTCAAAACGCTCCATTTTTTTCAATACATAGGCCTATATGTCAATCAAATGCAACCATGCATTACTGATCTTTCACACGCATTCAGTTTGATGAATTGAAACTCTAGTGAATGGTTCAGTGGTTGAGTTTCCGTTCACAGACAGGTGGGCTGGGTTCTGAAAAAGGCAGCTTTGTACTGGCCCAAGTTGATCAAAGAAAACCATGGCGGTCGAGTAAATTAGACCAAATAGCCATTTCTAACTCAAGTGTTCCAACTCTACTTTGGATGGTGGCTGGCATTAAATAGGGGAAGGAGGCAGGGGCGTTGGTGCTTTTCTTATTTTTCTTTTTAAAGTCTCTTAGGTTAGAGCATGAGCATGGGCGAAGTGGCGAGTGGGCGAAGTGGCACATGGGTGAAGTGGCACATGGGTGAAGTGGTTGAGAGCGAAGTGGCACATGGCCGAAGAGACTGTAAAACCACCTAAGTCCTAATGGCAACGTATTGGGTATTTGTGAACTTGTCAAAATGGCACAGGAGAGTGTTAAAGATCTCTCACCTTAGTATAGGTGGACACAACCTGCAGTGTAAAAATGAACCCAAGAATTTATGCAAGGCAGCAGAGATAATCAAGTGCTTATCTTCCCTTTTTCCTTTACATTGTGCCTGTAGTTCATGATGTGCCCTGGGCACTGCTTGGGTTAAACAGAGTGAGGGTTTTAAGATTTCATCCTCAAAATATGATAAAAACTGAATTTACCTGTGGGACTCTGAGGGGGCTGCTTGAAAGGGTGAACAACATGGATACTTCTCGGGTTGGAGTCTAGGTACGTAGTGGTGATGACCACCATGTCATGGCCCGTATACTTGTTGGCACGACTGATGGTCTGGTCCGTCAGTCGCGTCCAGTAGATGTGGTCGACAAAGAGGGACAGGCCATAGCAGTCCGAGCTGGTGGAGAGAGACCAATAAAACGAGCAAAAGGTGACTAAGGTGTGACTGAAACCTGAAACCTCATTACTAAAACCTCCCTCCTTACTTGTGCAGATATCAAAGTGTTTCTCCTTCTACCCCTTACATGCTTGTGTGTCCCCTACTTGTTTGTTTCTGTACCACTGTCATGTTGCCATTTAGAAAGGTCCTGTCAGGACCAAAACGTCAGGTCCTCTGATAATTTTGATTTGTGTATTTCAGGTCTATCCAGTTAGTGAGCAATATATGCAGCAGGTGAATGCATTTTAATGACAAATGCTGTATTTAAAGAACCATGTCATGAATGTCATGATGTCATGTTTACCTACAGGAGGTAATATTCACATCAATGGTAACTTTTTGTCATTATGAAAAGCGAGAGAGGCACTTTTGATAAAGTGTCTCGCCATAGCACACAAGCGGAATGAGTGTAAGCGTTACTCACTTCAAGCCTGCTGTGACTGTCTCCCTCTCACTGCCGTCATAGTAGCTTGATTCAATCATCCCAGTGCCATTGTCCAGCCAGAACAATCTCTTGTCCACATAGTCCAGGACAAAGCTCTTGATGTTGCTGACCCCTGATTTGATGATGGTTTTTTGCCGCGTGCCGTCCAGCGTCCCCCGCTGGATCCTCTGCCGACGACCTATGGTGCTGATGAATATATACCTGAGAATCCATGGGAAATAATACAGTTTGAATGCATATAGTGCCATGCACATAGGTTTTTCCACTCTGTACTGCATAATTAAACCCATGTATGAACTTGATGCACAACAGCCCCTAAACAGTGACAAAGACAGCGATATGAACCCTCGCACCTCACTTTTACAGCAAGTGCCCACACATGTGCAACAGGCTTTTTACCCAGTGTCGCATGTCACAAACATGTGCATGCTAGCACAGTTGCTCTTGTGAGTAGGTCACAGACACAGGCCAGACTGAGACCAATATACATCATTGCACATCCTTAACTTGGATCAAGGAACAGCCCGAGAACACCAAGAGATGATTTCACAAAAGTCCTCTTTTCTTACAACGCGTCCAGATAACAAGTCCACACTCTAGATTTGACTGTTGATAGGAGGCATCCTGTGATCAATGTCACTAAATGCATCTGCCCTCTTTCCTTGTTCAAACTGACGAAACAACTCACCCTTCCATTGGATCAAGGACAATGGCAGTTGGTGTCCGGGGTCCCGTTTCCAAGATGATCCTTCGGTCGGTTCCATAAATGCTGCAGCTTTCAACTCGCTTGAAAAGAGAGTCTGACCAGTATATACGGAGGTTGATCCAGTCAACGGCTACACTCTCCAAGATCCCAACACCACTAGAAATGAGAATCTAGGAGGGCAAAATTTAATTCAAGAAGTAACATTAAAACTAGGAGGGAAGAAAGAGGGTAGAAAGCTCACAAACCCAACAGTGTTCCTTTGGATATGGTCTTGCTGCTCCATGTACTTTCCTGTTAAAATTGAAATACCCAACTACATGTATTTGGCTTTTCCGCATAGTTGCGGAAATGCCTTTCTTTTTGTTCTGCTGATTTCTTCTTCAAAGCAAAGTTGCGGAAAAGCCTTCGTTTTTGTTCTGATTTTTAGTTTTTCTTCTTTATGATCTTTTTGGGTCCACCCCAAATCCCATAGACTTTGTACACGTTTTTTGTATGAGGCACTTTTTTGTATGAGGCACCTAAAACAAAGTCCTATTCCTATGTAGACTTGGTGCCAAGTCGGTAATTGTTTTGTGTACGGTAACTGGTTACTGGCTTCACGCACGAAAAATATATATCGCTGCATGGAATGCGCGGATTTTTGTTCCCAGACCAAATGATGCTGACTATTGATGTTCAATTACCGACTTGGGGAATACGTTTCAATTTTGTACACAACATATGGGAGTATTTTGAAGTTCGCTAGCGAATTCTCTGCAAGCACTCTGATTGGTTCAGATTCCAGAGCGTATTCTCGGCCGCCACGGTAGACCGTAATCATTTTGAGGGTGTGTACTTTGTGTTGTGTACAAAAAACACTTTAGGGCATGCACAACTCAAATAATTAAGGTATATATCACAATGATACATTTTATTTCAATACACAATAGACGTAGCTAACTGTTTTGGCCGTTAAATCGTCGCCAGATCTGCAAACATGTCCCCGACCGGGTCCGACGTATGGAGAAGAACTCCCCATGTATCCGGAATGAATGAGTCCTCATTTGCATAGCGGTGCGCCATTGGATCTCACCGCAAACATGCCTGCATATGTATTGCGCTGCACGCATATATGAATAATGGAACAAGAACGTAATTGTCAAGTCGTTGGATATGTCGCAACCGCAACTTGTATTGAACCCACAGACAGACATAATAAATGCAACCCGCTGGTTGCTTTACACTGTCATTCACTAACAGTCCAGCAAGGTATTTCAAAATGATTTGGTAGTTTTATTTTTTGATGTTTGCAAATGTTGTATTTTCCCTTTAATCTTTGAAAATCAATATAAAATCAACTGTGAGAGATCGATTTTGTTTTTTACGGGAAATAATAGAATATTCCTGGGTCTTCATTTTTGATAACACGTGCAAAATCACATGACCCTTCCTTCCGGTAGGAACCGGAAATGCCTTGTTATTTGAAATTGGTAAAAAATGTGAACTTGCTTTGACCGTTGTGCATTCAACTGGAAATGTCAAGTCGTCCGTTGGGTCATGTGGCGTCATAATGTCATCATGATGTAGTTAGGGGTCATCTGACGTCATGTGTCATCATGAGTCCTGTGACATCGTCATGATGTCTTGGGTCATGTTACGTCATCTTAAATGTGCACTTTGTAAGACCGTTTTGGTTGAAACTTGGTACGTACAGACAGGGATGTAATAAAGGTTAAAATTGAGGTGATGTTATGATTACGTCATCATGGATAATGTAAAGTCTCTTCAAAATGCATAAAACTAGAGAACTACATGGTTTGCCAAGCAGCACATAAGTCATGAAACTTTGTTCTTGTATTAAATTCATCATTTGTCTATTTGTCTGACTGCACATGGACAAATTAAGCATGAACGTTTGGCGGAAAAGCCCTGTGTTCTGTTCATGGAACAGACATAGCTCTAGTTGATCATTCTATTCCTTAGACCCACTCAGCCAATCACAAGGACAGGTCAATGTTCAATGTCAAACAGTCTTAGGTCAGGTGTGCATATTTTAGTTTTGGTTAAATATGCATGCATGTTGTTGTGCAGTAATGTACATCCTGGCCTCACTTGGCATATGTGCTGTAGGCATTGTATGAACACAGTACACATATTTATCATCCATGAGTACATGTAATGCACTCTATTGACCGGAGGAACTTCCCCAATCCTTACATACATGTAGCCACCTTCAGACTTAGCCCCCCTTCCCCCTGCAAAAAACCTTCTGTCCACTATCTTGGGTAAAAAAATATTTGACCATTCTCATCACCGTCTTTGTCATCCTTTTTATCGTCAGCAGGAGGCATGCCACACTCAACACTGAATCTTACCTGATCAGCTCCTCCCGTTAACGGTGCCCAGCCAATTAAGTTTCTTGTTGAGTCGATAAAGTAAATCCGCTCATGCATGATATTGTAATCAAAGGAGTGGACTGTGCCAACATTCTGTAGAATAGGCAGAAGATTTGTGCCTCCCTCATCCATTTGAGAAATGTCCATGCCATGACTGAACATAATGGATGGTGTGGGTTCTACAAAATTAGAGGAATATTTTTATCAAATTTGTTAATGACACATTCATGGTAATATTTCAAAACCATACCCTTCTTTTGGGGGATTAACTGCCCCCTTGTCACAGCAAAAACACTTTGCATACTCAAGCTTGAGGGTGAATTTACTTTACACAGGATTCCTATTAAGCCATGACTACCTATATGGGACACCATTATGTTGGCTAAAGCATTGTGGCAGCGATCATCTACAGTCGTCATTGGCAGAAAAATTCCTTTTGAGATAAATACTGTATCACAATTTTAATATATGAAAATAGCTCACAACACGAAAGGTCTTCTAAATAATTCCCATCTTAGAGAGCACTTTTGCAGAAAAGGTATATTTAATAGAACAAAAGCATTTGCCTCTCAGATGGACTCTAGTAGTAGTATGCACATTAAATCTATTTTCTGCCATTCATGTGATATTCACAAGTTCTGATTAATTTCCTACCTTGTACAAAACATGACCATCTGTCTGCCTCTAGTGTATAACCTCCCAAACAGGAACACTGAAATGCTCCAAGTGTGTTGGTGCATAGCTGACCACACTGTTTCCTGCCTCCTTCTAAACACTCATTGATATCTGCCAAGACAAAATGCAAGAATCTTCTCTGTCATATAAATCACAAGGGCAAACTAGCTGGAACCCAGTTCAGATCCTGGTATGCGGACCACACAATCAATTGTTAATCAGTAGGGTGAAAAAGACAGTCAACTTGGCTAAAGTGAAATTTGAACCGATGACCTCCTGAATGCCACCTTTATTAGCTTTTTTAGTCTTTTTAGTTTGAAGCCTACTTCATTTAAAAACCTTGCCCAAATTACTGAGTTACACTGTGATAAAAATAAAAACATTGTATCAGACTGACCCAATATTTCGGTTATTATTGAGTGGTCGGGCACAACCCGACCACTGTTTAGAGTTGTTACGATTGATCTTTCTTTCTTTCTTTTTTTTCCGGACAACACTTAACTGGACAGTGTTTCATAAACTAGTTGTCTACTCGACCACTCTGCGTTTGTAACAACAAATGCGAACCTCTAGTTGAGTGGTCGGGCACAACCCGACCACTGTCTGGAACTGTTCTCATAAATCTTCTTTCTTTCTTTCTTTCCTTTTTTTCCAGACAATTCTTCTCTGCGGATTTTCTTCTAAACAGAATATGCTATGAACTTGTAACTTTCAACATATATCAACCCTCATCCCTAGTGGTACATATTACTCTGACGTCACGATGACGTCATCGCGTGTCAAATTACAAGCGATTTTCATTGAAAAAATGACGATCTTCTTTCACCTTACTCTTGAACAAAATAATCAATGATGTTCCAACCTTATAATCAGATAGACCATTAATTGATGAACATTTTTTGTGCGTATGTAAACACGCTTGACCTTTACTTCCGGGTCAACTGGAAGGTCAAATTTTAATAGGTGATTTTAAAATACAGACAGAAGCCTCAAAATCAAAACGAACCGAATTTCTTCCAAACAATTTATGGGATTATGATAAAACCTGGTATGAACTTGAGCCCCCGTCCGAAGATTAAAAAAAAAATCTGACGTCATCATGCATCATCTTGTATCAAATTACAAGCAATTTAAGGGCCAAATTTGTAAAAATAGTTTCAGCTATATCTTTATAACTAAATACAATATCGTGTTCGTTTTTGCGGGCACAAAACCGCTTGACCTTCACTTCCGGTGTTACCAGAAGTGCAATATAAATTGAATTTAACTCGAAAGCGGATGCTCTTCACTATAAGCAAATAAATTATGGAAGTGTTTAGAACGGATTAAAGGACACAAAAATAGTATTATGACAACATTATTTGAAGGGTGCCCTCTAGCGGTACATCAAATAGGGGTTCTTTTTTTTAATTTAAAAATCATTCGTCCAAATTTAACCAAATCGCCTCTTTTCATTTTTTTTTTATCAACTACATATAACTTTGCAGGGTTTCAAAATTATGACTTCATCAGACTGGACATTATTGTAGGGAGAATTTGAAAATGATCAACTTTTTTTTAATTTTCTATAATTTGATACCTATCTTATGACTTTGTTCGTAGCTCAAATAATGATATCCATTACAATGTTGACCTTGAGATATTTAATGTTGTGACGTCATCAAACCGGAAGTTAGGTGTTATTAATATATACACTCATTTTCATATAAAAATGAAGCAGAAATGCGTAGCACTGTAGATAAGTATATATGATGAAAATAAGTTCAAGCAGTGCTCACCGGGAATTTTGTAGCCTTCATATGATATTTTTATAAGTTATTTTAACTTCATAATCAACATACACATGTATGTCCTCTCCAAACTAAATCAGTATTCCCTTTCCCTTTTTAGACTGATGACGTCATTAAACCAGAAATAACTTGTACATGTACATAAAATGTATACTGAAATTTGATACATTTTTGTTTTAAACAAAATTATTGGCTGTACTGGAAAGGTTAAATGTTCGTGATCCTTTGTCCTGACAACATTTTTCATAACTTAACTGGGCTGTGTCTAATGAAATAGTTTTCGGCCCGACCACTCTGTGTTTGTAACTCAACAAAAGCCTTATACCTCTAGTTCTTCCTTTCTTTTTTTCCGGACAATAATTCTCTGCGGGTTTTCTCCTAAACGTAACTCAACAAAAGCCTTATACCTCAATGATTATTCATTCGTGACGCAAATAGGTCCACATGAGGCTGGTCGATTAGTCGGAAGATCGACTGAGCCACCTGTGGGAGCAGTGACCACTCTGTCGGGGCGATCCAGCCTCTGGAGAGAGCGTCGGCTGTGACGTTCTCTTCGCCCGGGATGTAGACTGCCGACAGTGCTATCCCGTGATGTATGCACCAGAGGGTGAGATCCCACGTTAGTGCACACAGATGGCCTGACCGAGTGCCCCCCTGGTGATTGATGTATGCCACCACTGTGGCGTTGTCGCATCGTACCAGGACTGCTTGCCCTCTGACGTCCGACTGGAAATGTTTTAGTGCGTTGGCGACTGCCAGCATTTCCAGGACGCTGATGTGGGATGATTGGTGTTTGGGGCCCCACACGCCCGCCACCTGTCGCGGGTGGAGGGTAGCCCCCCAGCCGTACCCTGACGCGTCTGTCGTGATAAGTACTGATGGGCGGGGCGGGCGGAAAACGCGGCCCTGCGTTATGTGGGCCTCGACTAGCCACCAACGAAGGTGGGGGACTAGCCAAGACATAGTGGGCACCGGATGGTCGATCGGGTGCCAACGGGGTTTGTAGAAAGAAAGCAGGTGGAGTTGAATTGGCCTCATCCTCAACCTGCAAAAATCCACAAAGTCCACCATACTTGCCATAAGGCCCAACAGAATGAGCCAGGCTCGAGCGGGAGCCACTACCGTCGGGAGGAAGAGGGACACGCACTGCCGAAGGTTCAGCAGGCGGTCCTCCGATGGGCGGGCCAGTCCCCTGCAAAGATCGAGGGATGCACCTAGAAAGGTGGGAACCTGCGAGGGGACTGGATGGGATTTCTTGGTGTTGATGAGAAATCTGAGGTCGGAAGCAAGGTGCCACGTTAGTTGGAGCGCCGCTTCCAAAACGACCCACTACTAGCCAATCGTCGAGGTACATGAATATCATGACCCCTCGTCGCCGCAGTGCCGCCCCGATCGTCTTCACGATCCGGGTGAACACCCGCGGAGAAGTGGACAGCCCGAACGGGAGCACCACAAATTCGTACAGTATATTTTTGTATTGGAAACGTAGGAATTGACGGTGCTCCGGCCTGATCGGTACGTGAAAGTACGCGTCCTTCAGGTCTATACTGGCCGCCCACGTTCGGGTTATGACTGATTCGAGAATGGTCCGCAACGTTTCCATGCGGAAACGTTTCGGACGTATGAACCTGTTGAGGGGTTTTAAGTTCAGTATTGGACGCCACACACCGGCCTCCTTCTTGGGGGCCAAGAAGAAGGTCGACATGAAACCCGCCCAGGTCCCCCCTTGGGGGACAACACGAACTGCTCTCTTTAGAAGGAGGGCGTCGATCTCCCCCTCGAGGGAGCGGCGTTTTGCTGTGTCGGGGGGTACAGGCGTTGTCCGAATAAGCATGTCCGATGGGGGAGTCCTCGTAAACTCGAGCACGTAACCGCTGCTGATCGTTTCGAGGACCCACCGGTCGGAAGTCACCTGCACCCAGGACCCGAAGAACTCCTGAAGGCGGCCTCCCACGGGTCCATCGGCGGGAGGCCGCTCGGAGATGGGTAAGTCACTTGTGCCACGCCCCGGTGTACCGGGGAGTGGGCGCACGAAAACCGCGTCCCGACTGGGGACGCTGTTGTCCGATATGTGGTTGTGAAAAACGCGGGCCGGCCGTCTTATCGGCGCGCCCACCAAATCCACCACGGGCCGCTCTGACCGGGGGGCGGCACCGGGGAATGACAAAAGACGGCTGCTTTTTCGTCTTATCCGCGGTTTTGGGCCCGGCCGGTTTCTTGAGATTTATTTTCTCAGTGGCCTTGAGGCGCTTTGCTTCGGCCTCCATGGACTCCTGGAACTTACCAGAAAATAAGTCCGGGCCTGAGAGCAGAAGGTCGTCGAGCACGTCTCCAGGTGAAGGAAGGAAAAGCGCATCTAGCACATTGGCGCGGCGTGACGATGTTGCAAAGGTCGACACTCTAGCGAACTGGTCGAGAGCGGAGCATAGGCCGCGATCGAGGCAATGGAGAGCTGCCACCATCATGTCGGCTGGTATCACCAAGTCTTCTTCATACCCCAGGGCCAGGTACTCGGACAGGAGAAGAAGAAAAGACGTCGCACGCATACCCATGCGTGCCGACAAGTCCATTCTACGGGTGAGATCCTCTAGCTTTCCACGGGTCTTGTCCGTAATGGGGACCTTGGAGGAAACCGCCCCTCGGTCAGCTGCGAGTTTGTCGATGGCCGAGTCCGGCAGGACTGGAGTTGAAAAATATTTCTCAAAATCCCCTGGGGGAAAATGATAATAAGAGTCTATGCGCTTGGCGTAGGCACTCCATGTCTTTGCGTGCATTATCCCGTCCATGTGGTCAACGTACACACAGTCCAGCGGCATTGTGGGAAAAGCCCGGACCGGTTCTGCCGTCTCTTCTTGAACGACTGACGCTCAGGAGGAGGAGGTTCGGTACCAGCAGGGAGATTCAGGACCCTGATCATATCCCGTTGAACCAAGCGGAGTTCGGTCTCAGCCACCGATAGGCATTGCATGGTGCAGGCCAGTTCGCGAAGCAGCCAGTTCGCGAAGCAGCGCCGTCACGGTGTCCCGGTATCGAGCCCCGCTCGGACTCTAGTGACGCCGATGGGTGTAAACTAATACCGGGCGGGGACGCTGGTGCACGGCTCTCCGTGCACAGCATTGTCGGCTGGTCTGTAGTCACCCCACCACGGCCGTGATGACTGGCGGGTGGGGGCTGTAATTCTGGAGGGGACTCCGGCGCACGGCTAACCGTGTGTGGTATGTCCCGTTGGCCCGGAGTCATCCAGCTGTGACTGTAGTGGCCAGTGTGTGAGTCAACTGGGCCGAGTCCCAAGTCCCCCTGTCAGCCCATAAATGAGGCCGC